TTTTTTTTTCCCCCCCCCCCCCCAAGAGACCATAAACATGTACTCTTTGTATCTTAACCGCAGCGTCCACCGCAATCTCTCGGTAGATTCTACGTCGAATCGACGTAATCTCGTTGCATAACCGACAGAAACACGTCCTGTGTGATTCGCATGCAAAAGCAGCCTCCTTCCTGACGAAGAGATATTCCTCGTGACGTTTCGTCGAAGAGGCTCTATTCTCTCTCTCTCGCTTTCTCTTCTGTATGCATGCCAGCGTTTGCTCGGAGGGGGTGCTAACTGTCGAAGACTCGGGGCTGCATCTCCTCGACGGAGGGAGCGTCCCGAGCGAAGGGTGGAATGCGCGAGGGACGACACGGGGGTATAGAAAGTCCCTCTGCGGTTTTATGGGTCGTCCAGCTCCATCATGCGCCGTAAAAGTACAATAAAACCGCTGTTACACCGCGGAAAACTACCCGTTCTAAACCACTGCGTGCAACGGGCCTTTAAGACGCGCGAGTAGAATGACGCTTGGGGAGAAAGAGAGAGAGAGAGAGAGAGCGGCCGAAGCAAAATTGATTCTTTTATGATCGGCGAACGTGATCGCGCGATACATTTATCTCGGGTGGAGCGTTTTCGAAGGAAAGAAGCGACTTATTTAACGCGACAATTTCGATCTGCTTTCAGTTCTCTCTCTGAGAAACACGCAAGAAGAAGAACCACCAGATCCTCAACTGATGCGATTGGACAACATGTTGATTGCGGAGGGGGTTGCCGGACCAGAAAAGGGCGGTGGTGCTGGAGCAGCCGCTTCGGCGTCCGCGGCAGCGGCTGCCGGACCGCCCGGGCAGCCGGACAACGCTATCGAGCATTCCGATTACAGAGCCAAGCTCGCTCAGATCAGGCAAATCTATCATCAAGAACTTGAAAAGTACGAACAGGTATGTCGAGAAGAGATTCGCGTGAGAGCTACTTGAAAAATCTACCCGAATCTTTACCGGTGACGCTACCCTTCGCTTCTCAGAACCGCGTATAATGAACGTGTAATCTCGATTACAACTCATAAATATGCGGCGTCGAACCAACCCATTAAGTCAAACGGGTTAAGTTTAACTCCCGTATTGATTTTCGCGAGCACGCGCGCGCCGCAGTCAAACATTTTTACGTTTGGCGCGCGCGATGTCGCAAATCCCTCCCTTCCTCCCTGCCGCGAAAATTATTTGTTTCCAGGAGAGAGAGAGAGAGAGCGAGTACCGTTCGCGCTTTATGCAAATAAAGCCCGCTTATGAATATTATTCCGCGAGCGTGGAGCCGCGCCATTATCGACGGGATATCGAGTATTGAATTCGGGTCGCGGGAATTACATCGGTCGTTTTATCATCGGCCGACTTCGTGAATGCGGGATAAAAAAGAGAGAGAAGGAAAAGGAGAACAGTGAAATGAACCGGCCGCATAAACGAGCGCCGTTACTCACCTCTCTCTCTCTCTCTCTCTCTTGCTCGGGGAAAACTCTCGGCGAAATGAAAAATTTAACGTAGCCCCGCGGTTATCGTCGAGATCCGGCCGGCTGACAAATTTCGGCCATCCCGGCGCGCTATCAGCCGGCTCGATTCCCCACCATCGATAATCTCTCTACCACCCTCTCCCTCCCTCTCTCGCTCTGTCCGCTCGTGAAATTCAACGGCGTCGACGCGAATTTATCGTCCATCGACAATCTCGCGGCCTCGTTAAGGCGCGTTTATAGCCCGTCGCCGATGTCACGAGTGGATTCACCGTAATATGCGCGATCAAAAATTCGCATGGCAAATCGTGACGATATAGCGACTTCCCCTTGGCGAGGAACGTTAATATACCTTCGCAAGGAAGGATTCTTAATGGGAGGAAACGCATTTTCGTGGTAACGCCGGTCGATTTTCGATCGTTTTGCGACGAAACGGACTGATAAGAAACGACGTACGTTATGCGTGCCCGGGTGAAACGACCGGCGATTCGCGTGCTAATGAACCGGCCCGCTTGCGCTAAGTAAAATCTCGCGTGCCGGACAGGACTGCCCTCGGTGGGTCGCGTGATACTTTCAAAACGACGCAAATCACTGCGGGCTATTACCGCGTTCGCCGCGGAAATTCGATGATGTTATCGCGAACCGTTTCATTAAGAATTTCTTCTCCCTAGCCGCTTCCCTTTTCTTTTTTCTCTTGTCACCTGCCTCGTGATTCTGTCCTTGTGTCGTAATAGCTCAATCTGATGAGACAGTTTTGATACTCGACGGTAAGGCGGCGCCGCGCTGAACGACAAAGGTGCGAACTTTCAGGTAGTTGTCTCGTAAAATGAACTTTTTGAGAGGCAATTTATCGGAACATTTTGAATAATCCGCGCCGCTTTCAAGCCCGCCCAAATTGTGCGACGATTGCGAAATCGATCCTCATCGTTCGTCGCGGGACCGTCATTCCGCTTGACGTCGCGCGTAATCGGCGATTTTTACCGTAAATAGGGCCCGCTCATCGGCCCTACGCGCATAATTCTTTTTAACGCCGCTCGCGTTTTCGCCGGCAGTTTTTACCTTTCACGTACACTCACTCCCCGTGGATATGTGTGCGTGGGCCGTGTGCTTTAATTGCCACACCCGTTTCGACCCCATATTTCACCGTGTGTCAGCGGGCTTGATGTTTCCCCGCGGTAAACACGCACGAGGTCCACTGGCGCATTCGTCAGGGTCGGATTAAAAAGGCGCGCCGTATTTTCCCGTGAAATTATTTTAGTTTAACTTTTGTTTTCGAAAATCCTTCTTTCCTTTTCGCGAGACGACAAAAGATGCGATCAATAGAAATTGCAAACGAAAGCGTTCGCACGGTTCTTTGTAGCAATACGCACGCAGAGAAACGCAGCTGTTTTCAATCTCCCGCATCGTCCAAGAAAATCGCTTCTCGAGTTTCGAACGTCTCTTTTTTTCGAAACGTCAGGTGAGGACGCAAAAATATCTCGATCCGAAAAGTTCAGTTATTGGCTTAGTTAGTTGGCATTAGTCAGGGCGTTGTCAGGGCGGAAAGTTTGGCCATAAGCGAAATTTACTATTCAAATTCGGTCGAGTCGCCGCATTAGGGTGAATGTCTGCCTGACTATGCAACATGGCGTGACAAGTACGAGAATAGAACCGCATCGGGTTTTACGAGATCGCGTGATCACCGCCAGCAAACATCGTCTCTACCATGAATTTTCGTCGGGGTACATGCGCCGTCCGCCTTTATTTCACCCGATTTCTAACTCTGATTCCTGCCGCGAATTATCTTGTATTGTATCTTGAGAAAAAGCACCGTGGAATGCATCTTCCGACGTTCGCGAGGGGGCGAGAGCGTTTTACGCGCGCATAAATATTTTGTTTTACAGCACCGTACCACCTAACGTAAATCGTATTGAGTATGATTGCAGAACGCAAACATCTTGCGCGTTCCTTGAATTATCGAGCGAGAGAACGGTACCGTCTGACACGAAGTAGTGAGCGTTTTTCATCGAATTTGCCGAAAGCAATTTGTAAACGCGTTTTTCATTTAATTAAATCCGATATCGCTCCATTATCTTACCGCGGGAGGAGCACTGACAGATTTTACCTCGCTTGGATACATAATTCAACGATCGAACATTGGGTGAACGTGTTAACCAACGCAATGAAATATCCGACGGAGGAATTGTGAGCAACACACGCTTATCGCTCGTACTAATTCGACAAAGTACGCGACGCGATAGCTTTCATCGCTACGAGACTTTTCCAACATCTCTCGAGTACACGAAAGTTGTCGTTTTATGTCGAATTTACCTTTCTCGCCGATTGCTTCGGTTCGCTCGCGTAACTTTCTATGAACGAATGTTACCTTGCGTCTCGATCCAGCGAAGACGGTCCGTTTCGTTTTTTCAAACATGTCGCGACCTCACCGGCGAATTGTGGAACTATGATTTGTTCCTCATCTTTTTCCCCTCTTCCCAAAATCAAGCTGTGAATATATATTTAACCCTTTGCACTCCAGCCTAGTAATGCATAGAGGCTATTAGTTCCAAGTACATACCTATGATGTAGAAGAAAAATAGAGTCGTTTCAATAAAACAAAATTTTTATTTCTTAGCTATTTTATAACAAAACATATTCTAACTTATATTATAAAAGAAAAACATAAATTTTAGGACTTAAAATTTCTTAAAGTGCCGAGGCAGCAAAACAACCATGTCGCCGCTACGGCGACAGCGGAGTGCAAAGGGTTAATTAACAAATATAAAACACCTGACTTTTCGTGCGTAATATATATCAACTTCGTTTAAAGTGTGGCTAAAGAGAGTAAATGTCTGGCGCAACGAACGTCGGCCATTTTGTCGCTATGTCATGTCCGTTGAGAATACGGCGCGCGTCCCGCGCAAAGTAATCAGCCTCCGGTCGGCATCGTGTTAATTAACACGCGTTTCTTCGTATCTACACGAGTGTCAGTGCTAATTCAGTGCCGTGAACAACGATATGTCTACACGAGTGTCAGTGCTAATTCAGTGACGCGAACAACGATATGTATCTGAAATTTCCAGGTGTGTGAAAGCATTTATTACTGATGTAACAAGTTTGACGGGATTTGTAAGGTTAGAACGAAAATATCGGGTCACCCACTGACGAAACGAATTTTCTCACGGCGCCACTAATTTTACTGCGACACGTTCTATTAATACCCGTGTGTACTATACGCGCGAAAATACAGAGGCGGACATACTCGACTACGCCGACGTTATGGAAATTCCGACGTGTGCATTGCTAAATATACCGGCGCGCGGTTGCTGCTCGCGCCGTTCTCCGCGGTTGTTTTCGCGGTTAGAGAAACACACGTCTCGATAGTTGCGTTATCGAATTTCTGCTCGAGGCTTATTTGTATCGGGAGGAAAGAGAGAGATTGAGCAGCATTGATTTTGGCTATTTTGTAACTAGCTATCTCGTTCCTGAATGGAAGGAGATAGAGACGTTATGCACAGGGTGTTGCAGAAGTACGCGAACGAGGGAGATAATCTTTTCAGACGGAAATAATAGGTAGAAAACGCGAAGATCAACATCGTCGACCGCTTTGTGATATTTGCCGTCTTCGAACCGCGACCCTTTGCAGAAATTAAAGGAAATCAGTCCGTGGAAACTCACTATGGCTTTTCCATCCAATTCAGCGACATTCCGTTCGTTCCTTCTCATCCCTCCTCTCCCTACCTCCTATATCTTTCTCTCTTGCTTTTCCTCTCTGACACGCGTGCAACAGCCGACGGGGTTGATCCACCCCACGGGTCTCGTGCGAAGAAAGGAACGAAGAGAAGCCACACGGCGGATCGAGAGCGGACGGGAGAAGGTCGTCGGAGGAGCGGAATCCATTTCGAAATTGCAAGCCACCCTGTTCGATCCCCCTTCTTCGCCGCTTCCTCTTCTCGACACCCTCCCGTGGCCTTTTCCCGGTTCCTTCCCTCAGGAAAAGCCACTCCCCCTGCCACCGTCTCTCTCTCCCTTTCGGGAGGCAGCGCGCCCGCCTCGAATACTGATATCGAGCAAAGTCCTTTTTCCCTTAAACCGAGCAGCCACCAGGAATAATGCATTATACGTACGCGTCCTTCGTCTCTCGTTTCTTCCCTCTCCTCCGCTTCGCTTACCGTCTCGCTTCGTCCTTTCGTCACGCCAGCGAACTCGCAATATACTCAAATTTCTTCCCACGTGGTCTTCTATATTTCTAATTCATCCAGCGATAGGCACTTCTCTGACGTGTCCTTTTGTTCCTTTTTTTCAGGCATGTAACGAGTTCACCACTCACGTAATGAATTTGTTGAGGGAACAGAGTCGCACAAGGCCGATCACGCCAAAAGAAATCGAGAGGATGGTGCAAATCATACACAAGAAGTTCTCAAGTATTCAAATGCAGCTCAAACAGTCCACCTGCGAGGCCGTGATGATTCTGAGGAGTCGATTCCTGGACGCCAGGTTTGTGTCGAGTACTCGTGCCGAGAAAGTGAACGACAACTTGATACATTCGAACGCGATCGTTATTATCTCATGCGATTCTCGATCGAAATTCCACAAGCAAATCTCAGTTGCGATTAATGTCGGCGCGAAATCATTCCTGTTGCAGACGCAAGAGAAGGAATTTCAGCAAACAAGCGTCCGAAATATTGAACGAATACTTCTACTCGCACCTCAGTAATCCTTATCCAAGCGAAGAAGCTAAGGAGGAGCTCGCACGAAAATGTGGTATTACCGTGAGCCAGGTATCGTCCGCTACTTTCTCTCGTACATATTCCTCTAGTCATTGTAATTTCTCAAGTAATTCTTGAAGCCTTCAAACTCTCATTCATTAATATCGCCTACGTGTACATTTAACGCGACTCTGTTTGTGGCTCGGATTATACGCGAACATTTATCTATCAAGTGGCCAGTGCTTGCTGTACATTCAATCGACGAAATAAACGCGCGCGTTCTCGTTTCGTGTGCTCTCAGGTGTCTAATTGGTTCGGAAACAAGAGGATACGCTACAAGAAAAACATCGGGAAAGCGCAAGAGGAAGCGAATCTGTACGCCGCTAAAAAGGCAGCTGGTAAGTTCCAACGTTCGCTAACGAGCGACGGGTGTTCCTTCGCGAGTTCGTAAAATCGTTAGGGAAAATCTTTTGAGAGTACGCAGAAGAAAATTGTGTATGAAATCGGAGTATTCACGCACGCGAATATCTCTATGATCGAGTAAATAAAATGCTCCACGATAGAATAATCGAAAGCTATGGAATGGCGCGCTTTATCAAATTTCTTCCAGAGCGCTTTTGTATCGCTCTATCGTCTTTTCTATTTCTCGATGGTCTCGAGCTCATCGCTTCTCTGGACGCCGCGTCGTCATCATCGTCGTCGCCGCCGCCGCCGCCGCCGCCGCCAAGCTTCGTCGATGGGTAAAGCTCTCTCGCAGAGCGAGGTGAAAAAAAAAAGACACGAAAGTTTCGCGATCGATAACGGACGAGTCTCTCTCTTTTTCTTTCTTTCTGTCTCTTCGCTTCACGCGCGTCATTTTTTATGCGTCGGAATCAAGGCGGTGGGGGAATTTCATTACTGTAAATCATTAGACAACTGAGTTACCGCTCATTGTTCAGTGACACCATCGCGAGAGAATAAATTCAACAATACCGATTGCCTCCTTCGAAGAAAATAAAATAAACCTCCTCGGGGAGGGAGGATCCAGTAAAGAAAATAATAATTCGAAATCGTGGCAGATGAGATGGAGGATCTCCGCGCTGTATCCACTGAAAAATTCAAAAGTTTTCGAAAGGCAGCCAGACAGCATGCAGATGAGACTATGTTCTCGTTACATCTCGCGACGAGATAGACGCGTGTACCACCGCACGTCTTCGTTCGCCTCCCCTCGTGAAAATTGCAAGAAAAACTCCCGTCCTGAAATTCCACGGATTCGCGGATCCTACCACCCTGGTCGCAATTACGTGCGCTTCGCTTAACTACCGAGGCGTCTCACTTTATTTTGGGCGCCAGCGTGAGATATTTTTAACTCACCAATTATACGGAAGACGGAGAGAGGGGAGCGGAGTGCACGAGCTAGAAAACTACGAGAGAGGGGAGATTCCGAGCTTCTCGCATTTCTTTCAGCACTCTCTGTCGACCACGTTCACGATGAAACGGTTCTCTCGTAATTAAAGAAACGGAATTCTAACGACCTCGCCTCTCTACCCAGCCCCGCGGAGCAACGCTCTCTCGTCTCGAAGGTTTTACAAGCAAAACGGGGAATAGCCGCCGTTTTTACAAACTCGGAACAAATTACGAAAAGGATCTGATTTCTAAACGAATCTAGTGATTCGCGAACCTTCTTTGGATGCTTCGGCAATAGTCTTCTCGCGTACGTCATTCAATGAAAAAAGGAGGGAAAGAGCTCGAGATACGGAGAGAAACAGAATGATCATTGTTGGTTGAAGAACTTAAAAAGTCGCACCCTCGAATTTTGTATGCACCGCGATTGTTTCTACAGCAGCTTTTGCAGGAGCATCGCCGTACAGCATGGGCGGTGCCAGCCAGGGCACACCGACGCCGATGATGTCGCCGGCGCCTCCCGGTGGACCGCAGGACATGGCTGGATACGGCATGGGGATAAATGGCAGCGACTATGGCTCGCAGCCGTACAACGACGGTTCCATGGGATACGACCCCATGCACCAGGTAAAGAGCTTATCCTGCATACAGAATGCTCCTATACGTATGTTATATAGATAGGTAGCCTCTTCTCATTAGCCGACTCCCGTAGTACAAAGCCCGCTTTCTGGAATCTGCATTTGCGTGCATGAGCTTGCTCTCCGATCTTGCTATGCTGTGGTTTAGGAATCACGTGGTAGGCGCGTATTTAATATGCAAATGTAATTCCGCCCGAGCTGAACTATTAAATAATAACGAACCTCCCCCTTTCCTCTCGATGATCTTTGAATATTCCAATTGACTTTTATCGCCAAGTTTTAGACAGAGAATTCGTTGGGATGGATTATATATCCGATTTAATCGAACGTTTTATCACGAGTTTTATTTATTTTCTTTTTTCCCTTTTTCTTAATAAACGCGAGGAATTGAATTTAACAATGATCACAGTTCGATGCTGCGACATAAATTCCCCACTGTTGTCAATCTCATCCCTTTCGAAGTCTATTTTTTTTTTCACGCTCCTTCTATGTATTTCCAAACCACAGTACTATAAGCCGTTAAACGCACGTGCATTTCACCTTCCGCATACTTACACTGACGAGATAAAGAGACATTGCGAGAGAGAAAGAGAGTGCAAGCAGAATAGAATGAAAAGAAGGAACGACAAAATGGAAAGGGTACTAGTGGAGAAATCTGTTCGGAATGATACGGTATCATATACAGGGTGTAAGACAACGCGGGTGCAAAAGAAAATCTTAATAGGAGCGGTGTGCGTAAATTGAATCTGGCATTCTCCAAGAATTCATTTTTCCGGCCTCTTACTTTCGTATGTACGAAATCTCACCCTGTATATGTGCATGCGTGCGTGGGTGCGTGCGTGCGTGTAGCTACTGGGAGGTATACATAGTAGGCTGGATACGCTGTTTCGTAAAGATGGCCTTGAGGATGCCGACAGTCAGTAGGGTGTGTTGGGTCGAAAAGGGGTGCTAGGGACTGCGCACACAGAGGCAACCTATACGTCGAACACACATTTCGCTCTAACACTCTCAGCTAGTCGCCGATAACGCCAGGTTTGCTTAGTATGCATTGGAGTTGCTAAGTCACTTTTTAGGCAGGGCTGGCTCTCTCTCTCACATATTAATGGAGCTAGTGGATACGCGCCGCCGCCGCCACTACTAACGAATCGCCGGCATTCTCGCGATGCAACGTAACGAAGCGAACTTGGACGAAGGAAAATTCGCGGAGGATCGTCCGTTCCTCCTCTGCGTATCAATCGAGCCTCTGCTCCTCTCCGAGCATCGTTCATTTCTCCTCCTCATCTTCACCTTCCTCCGACTCTTCGTTAGATTCTTCTTGCCGACTTTTTGCGCCAATTCATGGCCCAGGTTCTCTATGGATGATTTAAAGTTCGTATTCGACCGTATGGTGGTTCCCCTCTTCGTCGCGGGGATGATCGATTTCAGTGTTTTTCTTTTTTCCATCAATCGAAATACTCTCACACCGTGATCGACGACAAATTAGGATGTGCGTGCTAATTTCCGGTTTGACGTCCACCCACGCGTCTCCTTTCGCGCGGAACTTCGTTCGTCTCGAACGTAGTAGTAAATCTCGCTGACATACAATTTCAACGACGTCACGTGGCAGAGAGTGACGTTAAATTAAATTTGCGGGTAAACACACACGGTGCGCGCGGGGGAACGAGTCTGGAGATTCCTGCAGAAATGTTTAACCGATGGATCCAATATTCGACATGTCGATACGGGGCTGATCACTTGTCGATGTTTCGCCGCGACTACAGTTCTATCGCCGTAGGTAAAAAAAAAAGAAGAAGAAAGAAAATTGCTGCCGCATTATTAGTTCCGTTCAACCTGTCGTTTCTCTTTACCCGGTAAACTTTAACCGTTTAATTCATACATTTTCGACGTACCAGGTGAGAGAGTAAAGTGATAACAATTTCTAATAGTGTGCATTGTATGCGGATGTATCCGGCAAGAAATCCTCCGTGATTTGTTCTCGCCGGCGAATCTTTCATCTCGATAGAAATTCGAACGGAATCGAGCCTTCCTAGAAGAAAAGCCCGAGACGAAATTAATTTCGCGGCCCGTCCGACTCGTCCGCTCTCTCCGGAAAGGTGGAAATGAAGCGACTAAAATGCATGCTCGTAGGTTCCGCAGTCACTTCCGGCTTTTGTATGGGTCTCTACTTCTCTATCGATCTGAAACGGCGCCCGCCTTCTTCTTCCACCCGTATTTTCTGGCTGGCGTTAAGTTCCATCGGATTTATCGTTCGATCAGTGGGCTCCTCTTGTGCGATTCGCGCGCGGCAGCACAACACACGTAGCGTAAATCTACGAGTATTACGTTTTTAAGTAGCTCCACCGCGAATAAAGTAATTTCTTTCACGGTAAACAAATAATTCTCTCAATCCAGCCGATCCGAATTTTCAGAATGTCGTCTCTATGCCTGAGAAAACGCTTAGCGACGTTAGATTCTGCTGTCACATAGTCGTCTCGCTCTCATAAAGGATGATGATTCTCTGAGAGAAGTTTTTCCTTTGGCACACTCGATCGGACGTTGCGTCGCACGCATGTGTACTCGACTCCGTTCAGCAGAGTTTGCAACAACGGCAAGCCTTCCTTGACGCTGCAGCTGGCACTAACGTTTCCCGTAATCCACATAATACGTAACAAATGTGAGCGATCGCTTGTACACTGTTTACATTTTTTAGCACAAAGAGCCTATCTCACACGCCGGCCCGACTGACTCTTAACATTTGTGCACCGGTCAAGTAATCCACTTGTATTACTTGATATCTTATCACCGCCTCGTTTGTCTCCGCCCTCATCCACTTTCCTCTTCTTTTATTCTCGTTCTAATCAGCTACTGGTTGGTATTCCGAATCTAACAAGTAATAGTAACGTTAAGGAACACGGAACTGTGTTTACAACAACACACCTCCGAGTGTGCGAAGAGAACGCGCGTCGATGAATCACACGTCGAAATTGTCACGCTTTCCCTCATTCAAACTTTTTCTCGGCTGATTATTACTTTATTATTTATTGATCATTCGAATAACTTTACGTTACTGTCTGGAAACGAATTTGTATGATTATATAATACTAGTAATTTAATTGCACCGCGCGTTAAGGCTGTTAAATTCTGTCGGTTAATGTACCATCCGACGTGTTACCGAAATATCGAGAACGGTGTTTCGAGGGGAAAGGCGCGTATTGTCGCAAGCACAGTTCTGGCACTGCTATCTGGTATCTATCTTACGTTACTGATCCATCGGTCATCTGCTACGCCGTCTCTTCTACTCTCCATCACCTTTGACGATTCGTCTCAGAGGTCGCGAGATCCGCAAATCGGTTCTGCGCCTAAGAGACGATCCCCAACGATTCTCTTCCCATCGCTCGTAAAGAGACCTCACTAGTCGCGCAGATTCGAGAGTGTTTGTCGTTCTAATCGCCAAAAAATGGAATTTTACTTTGGAAATAAAGGGGAATCGTAATTCTTGGACGTGGTATCGGACAAATTCGTAATACGTCGAACACTAAAATTGTGATCCGACGCGAGGCGCTCGAAAAAAAAGAGAGAGAAAGAGAGAGAGAGAGAGAGAGAGAGAGATCAAAAACTTCTCAATTCGACCGGACTGAGATCGGGACTCAATGACGTTTTTTCTTGATGCAGATGAAACGAAATTCTTAGAAGGCGACAGAGAGTGAGAGAGAGACACCGGATTAGACAACCACGCAAAAGACATGCAGTCGAAGCTAGATGGGGAAAAAGGGGAGGAAAGTGTAAGAGAATCATGAAAGAGAGAAAAAGAGAGAGAAAGGCGGAAAGTTAGAGAGATGAACGTGAGGTAGGGAGAGAAAGAGAGGTTGCACAAAATGCGGGGAAAATTATGAGCGTGAAAATCGGGACTAATGCGTGCACACACTGATCTTGCCCTCTCGTGCTTTTTTTTTTGTGTTCCCAGTGATGCGTCAGGCCGGTCTAAAACGCTCGTACCTAGCAAAGTTACTCGCTGTAAACTTGATACGAGAAAAAACGAGAGAAACACTGAGAGAAGTTGTGAAAGAAATAGAGGGAGTGATCCGGGATTAGAAGCTGATGAGAGCCGCTTCCGGACAACGTACAACTCCCGTTGCAACGAGTCCCTAAAACTGTTTCTAGAAAGAGAGAGGCGGTCGAAGATTTCGCGAGAGAACTCTAGCAACGAACTTGGGATTCTGCGAGGTGTGCCAGTTTGCGCGGCTCTCATTTGATTAACTCATCGATAGTGCAATATACAGAGACGTGCGTATATTCCGCGAACGTTTCGAGATATCTGCTTCGAATTATACGCTTCGACGAAACCGTCTTGCGCGTCGCGAGAAAAAGATTTCCGCTCGCAGAGCCCAACAGCGGTGGAACTTATTTTCGAACCAAGCCGCCTGGGGGGAAGGACTACCGTCGGCGCCTGTTAAAAATGTGAATAAATCGAAACTCGACGGCGCTCTGAACGCGCTCCTCGGTAATTCGGGACGGGCAAATTCCGATTCATCGTGGCGACGACGGACGGGAATCTCATGAAAGGAAGGAAGCCCGACGCGTCACGAAGAGAGGAGACGCACGTCTCGATAGTTGACGACGATCAAATTCTCTCCCCGACGTGTGCGTCCGAAACTGATCTCTCTCGCCGACCTCGCGTCGCGCCGCTCCGCATCCTGGAAGAATGCATCAGCATCGGAAGAATCGGCACAGAGCGACGCTGGGACACGCGTATTTACACGCAAATCGAATTTTCTCTCGGAGGATCCTACGGGGTTCTTCGTCGAGTTCCCGCAGGAGGAAGGACCTTTCGTCCGTGTGCGACTATTCCCTCCAGAAAGACGTCCTCGAGCTCTTCCCTTAGAATTAGATCTCGTTAAGTGTGCAATAAGATTTTTGATAACGGGATAAATCTTCATACTCTTCATTATTTTTTCTTCTTTCTTAGGTTGTACAAATATGTTAGATAGGTCATTTGTTACGTAGATTAGTAAAGAAAAACAAATGTTGGTGGCAGCAAGCGATAAGTTAACCCGATCGATCGCATTATGTGTCTCGGACGATGCTGAGGAAAGGACACGTTAGTTTAACAACGATTCTTCCGGTCGCGGGACTCGGCGACGTCGGGGCGAAGGAAAGAAAAAGAAATCTCGCGGGCTTGAAATTATATTCGCGCAACGAATAGGAGCACTTTTGCTATTTCTCTTTTTAGCTTCGGCGTCTAAGAGAGACTGTGACGGGGGAATCACGCGAATCTCCCGTTTGCACGTACGGCGGAGATACACGCACCCTACGCATTGCGCGCTACGGTTTCATACGACTTCAATTCTAGACTTACTCTCGAAAGTAGTTCTTCGCCGACGTATACATACGCACACACTTATATGTACATAGGCTGATAGAAGGAAAACGAGGCGGCGTTGTTACACCTTATAGTTGGAGAAATTAGGGCGGATACTTTTCATGACATGCATGGCTGCATGTAGAATATCAAGATGCGCGTGAGCCTTCGAGCGAGAAATTCACCTGTCGTTTTCCTTTCCTTTATTATTGCAACGATCGATGACGAGCCATGGAGGGCACTGCGGAGAAAACGTGATCATAATCTGCGGAGAATAATTCTATGAATATCGACAGCGCTGCTTTCGGAGGCCCACGCGTGTCTGGTTTTACAAGGTAGTACGTGTGTGTGCCTTTATCTGTTTTCGTTTGAGAAATGATCGATTGGGGGATATTTGGATGAACAGGCGAAAGATTCATAGAGAAGGGGAGGGGGATAAAGAGGAGTGACAGAGAAGGAGCGAATGTGTGTGATCAGAATTTCATACTCAATTTTGTAGTTCGTTATGCAAAGTTTCGGGTAGACAGTAGAATAGAGATCGGCACGTTGTATTGACGAATTCGAGAGGATTTCTCTATTCAATATCGGTTTCGATTGCCTTACTGGGGTAACAATAAGACGACCGAATGAGACATTTTGTGAATAAGAAACCGAGCGTTCCTTTCGCTTCGCGAAGAAACGAGAGACGTAATAATGACGATGTCGCTGGCGATTAAAATAACAGTCGCGAAATATCGAATTTCCTCGTTATTTTTTTCGGAAGCCGCGAAATAGATTCTGTCGATAAGTCTCGCACGATAGAACGTAGGTTTTCGACGAGTCTTTGATGAATTTTTACTCTTTCTTGCAACGTAACGCAACACGAGACGCGACGACAACGACCACAACGATCTCTCGTTCCGCGCGCGAAACGCCAACGCGACGTGCCGTGCTTTGAGAAGGTTTGGCATACCCGTGGGTCCAGCCACGCGGGTAGACTCAATGTTCTCTCTTGAGCAAAGCGTGACAAAGCAAGTTCTCTCTTAAAAAAAAAATAAATAAAAAAAAACGGGTCGAGGCGAGGCTTAGTGACCAATGACACGCAATTTTGTCGCCATCCTGCAGGGGATAAAGACAGAGGGCTAAAAATCAATTGCAAAACAAAAAACAAACAATCGAAAAATGACGCAGGGCAAGGCATTGGCTGGGGGGCCAGGCGCGGCGGGATGGATGCAACAGCGCGAGGCGGTGCCCGAATTTCCGCCCCTCCACGATTCAGCGGATTCTGATTCCGACCGGGAAAACGAAAAGCGACCGCGCGTCTAAGACTGTGGAAAAGAAAGATTATATATATATATATATATATACGTAATATATACATATATTTTACTTTTTTCTTTTTTTTCCTAAGTGCGAAGACGAACACAAGCGCAAGAGTTGTGTTATTCAGAACGGAATGTTTGTGGAAGAGAAACGTATAAAGAGTGAGAGTGAGTGGTGAGCGAGCGAGCGAGCGAGCAAGCGAGAGAAACGATAACCACCGACATGACACAGCAAGACCACCCGATACACACATTATACTCCTACACATAAGCACACACAGAGAAAAAATGCGGTTGGGTGGACAAAATCAATTTCGTTCGAACAATTATTGTGTCTCCTGAACAAATTATACGTGCAACAATATGTTGACATAGTTACTAACTACTAAATCGCGATGATTGTGTGAATCGATTGATAAATCATTGCAGCAACTATATAATTTTTTCAATCTATCGATTATTTGCCCGAACGAGTTTCCTTCGTCCAAGCAGAGTCCCGTTGGCTTCACCGCATTTATTTCTCGGTGTAGACGCGAGGAAAACACACATGTGAGACACGACGCGGTTCAGCCAGTGTTCCTAAAACGGAGCGGCGCTCTCGTTCGTGGGCGATTCTTATCATTCGATTGTATCATAGGGAGGGTAGGTACGAATAGACGTGCGGATCGTGTAAGAGCGACGAAACGTCCGTCTCGCGGGAGATGAGTGGTTCCCGGGGGTAAACTGTCCTGGAGTCGCGCCGCTACTGAATTCTCCAGCTGTGTTGCTCATCATTTAACGAAGTCGTACGTAGGAAAAACTACACCTCGAGCTCTCGTTCGGTCGTGAAAGCGAGATGAATCGTCGTCTGTCGCAGGACGATTGGATCGGGTGGGCACACTCTACATCTCCTTCGCCTATATTCCCCGTTATAAATCCGGTCTTGCCTTATAACAGAGCGCGGGAAGTCTCGGCCGAGCGAAAAGGAATGGAAACGCGTTAGGTCGATTAGACACTCTTCTCTTCGCGACGGAAGTTCTCGTTCGTTTCTCCGTGAGACAATAGACTCCGTACTCTTCAGGTGGAGGAATTGCGAACGGGATAGATCGGAATCACATTCACCCGCCACGAAACGACATACACACGGTAGGAAGCACGCCGGTACCCGCGCGAGGTCTCGTCTTCCGCCACACTTTCTTCAACTTACACAAACATGATACGACTCTTTTCTTGTATCTTCTTTACGTCTTGTACCATTTTGAACGTCTTTCCGAGTCTATTAGCCCTCATTATGTGATGCTGGCGAATGTCTCTTGAGTTCGGCTCAAAAATACGTTCTTTTATTTTCTGAGTTCGGCTTCTTTCGAAAAAGCTCCTTTTGCGACGTTCGCGTGCAACACGGAGTTCAAACTTTTCGGGAAAAGGTGATGTTCCGACGTTTTACGCTGATCGTGTAAAAGCGAAGACAGACGGTTTATATCTCGTAGATGTGACAAAACTCGGTGAAATGAAAAAAATTAATCCAAGAGCCGTTTTTACAAACATGTACCTAAATGATACTTTTTTTTCTTTTTTTTTTATTTACGTAAATGTACCTTTGATTGTGTAAACATGGGGGAAATTGAGACAAAATTGTGCGAATAAATTTTTAATCGAACCTACTACCTACTATGAAAATAAAAGAAAAGGACTGGCTGTAGAAGTATGGAAATGGCCTTTTGCGTGATCCTTATTGCGAGAAAAGAAAGCGCGTCTCTAAGTTTGAACCTACCCTGGCGCACTTTTAATCATTCGCGTCCCGATTCCATCGAGGACATGCGGACACTGAACAGGCGATTGCGTTAGAAAATTGATGTGCATGACCTGTGACCGCGAGCGAATTCGGCAATCACCATTATCAAATACGCTCTTTCCGTTTCCCCCCTTCTCTCGCCGCTCCTTTTTCTTTGTTGCATATGTTTCCATTCTTCTCCTCTTCCCTCCCGGCACGGAATCTCGTTATAAAATTCGTTCCCTCGACACTCGTTTTCTTTCAGTCTCTCTGTTTGATTTCACCGTCCGATATACACGCTCATTGCATCCGACATACACGCACATACAGACGGCATCGAATCCGAGATCGGTGGCGACTCGAGAGCCTCCGATTGACCGCCACTCTCGACAGAGAGACACAACGAAGTATCGAACTCGAAGCGCGCGGCCGATCACAATCGGATTCGATCGCCAGCCGAAACACACACGTGATTGCGCCTGTCTATCCTTAGTTGGTCGTACGTACGTAGGTACATATATATATTGTGTATACGTATACATGTGTATAAAAATATATATATAGATATATATATATATATATATTCTCTACTTTCGTATCTGTATAAAAATGGCACGCCACTCGCAGGCGAAGAAAGATCTCTTGTTATAACGAAACCGAGCAGAGGACACGAGGATTGCGTTTCGAAGAGAGAGAAAAAAAAGATATCCTTCGAGCCCGGACGTGCGCGCGCGTTCGTGAAAGTGTCTCTCGGTTTCGAGAGGCACGGTCATCGGAGAGAGCATATTGGCATATACGCAATTTTTCTGAATGAACAAACGAAATTTCCCTTAACGTAGCGTGTCGCACGGCCAGATCGCGGAATCGTCGCGAGTAATATCTCTCGATGACGATTCGATGACGGATCCCTCTTGCAAATCTCCTCGGACGATTTCTCATGTGCCACTGTGAATTCGCGCGCGTACACGGCCGGATGCTGTTTGTTTTCAGGAGCTGTCGCCTTGAAATCCTTAGGAGAAACGCAGGAAGAACGCATACTGACAAAACTTAAAAACAGAATAGAGAGAGAAAGAGTGAAAGTGAGGGAGTGAGAGAGAGAAAGAGAGAGAGAGTGTGAGCGAAGAATAAGAGAAAGAGGTAGAGATGCAAAGGTAGAAAAAAAAAATATACGATAGAGACGACCGCATTGTTATCGCGATGACGCTCGCGCAATCCGATCACCTCACTATCTGTGATCCGAGGCTCGCCTTTGAACGGCGGGTAATACGAACTAAAAATCGATATTAAGCTATTAAGGTTACGTAAACGCGCTTCGTGTCTGGAGGCACTCGTGTTCTCTCGCGAACGGCTGATCTCATGCTATCTTACCCATAGTCCGGCACCAGCGTTTCGTCCGCGCGAAACCTCGCATATCCATCTTGCGTCAGCGAGGCCTTCGATAGAAATCGGAGACATCGATGCGTGGCGTGACGCGAAAACGCGCGACAGGATCCGTTCTCGCGACATCTCCTTAACCTTTAGAGGGCCGCCGGGATTTGAGAGGGCATATCCGCCTTAGTAAAGTGGTAAAAAAGGTATCTTATATCATGGATTGACCATACACTAAGTATCGATCATGGGTAGCGCCAATATATTGGCTTTCCGACCCTCTAAAGGTTAAGACGCCGTTTCTCCTCGTCGGGAATTGACTGCTCGCCGTCGAACTGATCAACGTTCAATTCAGTGTTCAATTCATCGGGAGAACAACGCGTCGCGCGACGCACTTTTTTTTCCCGTCAGGCCAGCATAAACTCGACCCACATATATTCGCCGCACCGGCGAGCACTGATTTCTCGTATTTATAAGCTTTTTACGGGCGAAACGTTCCCAAGATCACCGCGACGAAATGCCGTAAACGTTCAGCGGGAGAAGACGATTTCGTTCTCCAAAGCGACGTTTTCGCCGATTCGCTATGACTGAGACTCGAGAACTCCACCATAACACGAATGCTTCCAGCCATCGACGACAGTCTTTCCCCCTTACCCTTCCCCCTCTCAGCGATCCATTAAGAGCAAAAAAGATATATTGCAGAACGGAATGATATATGTAGCATTGAGAGAAAAAAAAACAGTGCGGAAACGAACGAGAATGAGAGAGAAAGAAAGAAAGGACGAGAGAGCGAGCGAGAGAGAAAGAGAGAAACGAAGCAATGGTCCTGCGACACAACACTAATGTATACGATTTTTCAACACGAAAAATATATATTGTAGCTATATTATATATATATATATATTATGTATATATATATATATATATATATATATATTATATATATATATAGAGGTATATATAAAAGAGGATATAACTAGGCAACTATACGATTAAGTGCATCATTGTAACGACGATGGTAATTAGTACGACGAGGATTATTATTATTATTTTATTAGTTATTAATATTATTTCTATTATTATTATATTATTAGTACTATTATTATTTTTATTATTACAATTACTATTATTATTGGCGGTTCTCGCATTGTGATAATCGCACTGTAATTGCATCGTTATGACGATGATATAAGTATCATTGCTACACGTTATTAAAGTTTATTGCGTCATCTCCAGAGACGTACTTCTCTTTTCCTTTCGGACACGTTCACACCTCGGTTGACTTTTTTCTCTGTTTATCGTCCATCGATCGATTATTTGTAGTGAATTGCGAACCGATGATTTCTTACCTAGCGCATAGGTAAACGAGGAAGAAAAGGATATCCCACTTATTGTATAAACGAAGGCGATGCGAAGGTGAGAATTACGAGTATCCTCCGAACGATTAGGTGGTTAAACTCTGTTGTTAAATAATATGTCGCGAGCGAATCACTCGGCTAAAGATCGGCTGACGAATGCAATTTTTTTAACACTTCAACGGTTTATTAGCCCCATCACGTTTGTAATTCAATCTCGACTCGATCTCCGTTTTTACGTAGATCTTTTTTAACTGAAGCGTTTCTCAAACGATCCGAGTAATTCCGAGCGTAGCGTATGATTCTCTTTGCGCAATTTTGGGAGGGGATTGTCATTTTTCGCGTACAAGTAATAGCGCGCATACGACGATACAAACGGATTTGATTTACGACGATCGCGCAAATAGAGTTGTAATCAAGAATCAACGACTGCTCGAAAAGCTCTTTCTCTCAGACGATCCCCTGGGAGTCACTTGGTCCCAACGTCATGCTATCTTTAGCCGAATCCTTCGCCGATCGTGCGACCAGTACAAGTGCGTTCCGGCACAGCTAGTATACGAGAAAAGCGCGCCCGAAGTTCGCTGTGAGCACGCCTTCGGGCGTCCCTTATAGGCTCTACCGTAACATTTAATAAATGAAACGAGGACAAAACGAAGATGAAAAAAAAATGAAATACAGATCGATAATACCGACGCGATGTGCGAACGAGCGAAAGAGAGAAAGAAAGAGCGAGCGAGTGTGTGTGTGGGTGTGTGTGAGAAAGACAGAGTGAGAATGAGATGAGAAAGATATAACGTTTAACATTTACGAATACACACATGCGGTATAAGATATTATTATATATTTATATCCTTCACACTCTCTCTCCAGCCCTTCCGATCTCCTCGTTCATCCTTCCTTCTTCCCCCGCCGCCACCCTCGTCCTCAACCTCGATCATCCCGATCTCTCCAACTTCCGTTTTAGACGATATTAGTAGAAGAAGGCAGGCAAAGTGGAAATAATAGTAATAATAAACTCGCCGGTGATCGAGCCGTTCGCTCGACGCGTGCACGCTGATTAAAGAAAAAAGAAGCAAAAAAAAAACGCTGATTGTTAAACCGCATTTACGTTTTTTCGCTCTCTCGGAAGTCTCATCGGTGTCACGGCGTCGTTAATTGTCGTCGCGAAAGCCCTTACCCCACTTTACCGTCGCCTACAACCCCGCGTCATCTGCCCGTCGACCAATTTTTCGCGAGCCACGGGGAAAAGTTCAAGAGAGACGATGAGATATTTTTGGAATTGATTTCTTTCAACGTGCGTGCAACGCAGACGCCCGCGCGCGTCCTCGCGCTCTTTTCACGCCGCGGGGACGCGGCGCCGGCCTGGAGTCGCTCGTTGCCGATATTTCGATACGAAGCACACACACACGTATGATCTCAGAATAATAATAACGTCCGTGCGCGAGAGAGACGATCGTCGACGTTGTGGCCCGAAAGACGACAGTATACCACAGAAATCATTGTATCGATTCAAATCATTATGATAAACTTAATAAAAGGATCGAAAAAAAGAACCAATCCGTCCGCATTGTGTTGTGTGTTCGTCCCATCAGATCCTTCGCATCCTCGCGTGTTCGTCCGGAGACCACCAGTCACTTCGCGCTGATTTGTATTACTCTTTATTATAATATCAATAATAATATGACAGTAATCATAATATTATAATATAATATACAGTGTATGTAATTGTTATCATTATAATCCGTGTTTCCCATAAACATACATCAACTTTGAATTGGAAAGTGCGTGAAACGTGTACAGTACGTAATATGTTACATCAAGACGAATCGCGTCGTTTATAAACCGGGCCTATACATACATTACAGCTCAATTAATACTTCTGTTCAACTTTAAGGCTAATCTTAACATCCTCTCTCTCTCTCTCTCTCTTCACACATGTCATTCTGCCATAACAGTTTATCTATCACCATTCGAGCTCTCGGGCGGATCGATTGCACCAACCAACCGTAACATTCTACAACGACGATGTCCCCGCCGCGAACGGAGATGTCGCTAGAAAGTAAAGATGCGTTCAACGACGCATGTGTTGTAAATGATAAGCAAATAGGTAGGTAGGTAAAGGGCGACATTGTCGCTTATAGTTGACGCGATTGCACGTGTTTCACCACCCGAAATCTCGATTACACCATTAAACGTTACGCGTAAGTGTTGAAGGCGTGTCTATGTAACATGTCGACGCGTCACGCTAAGACTATACGCAGGCTTTCAACGAAATTACTCGATTACATAGATTAACTGTGTGTAGCGAGACGGTCGTAATAAAGACTGCCATTTACCACAAGTAGAGCCGTTCTGGTTGTTCGTTCGTTCATTCATTCGATGAAAGCGCAACGGTGTCTTATGAAATAATAATTCGGTAGTGAAAAATAAGCAAATTCTATGTATAAACAATTCAGATTTCACGAGCTTATGAAAGCTACATTTAAACACGGTATATATACAAATCTCTCAGACTTTCGTGCATGCACAACTTACACGCGGCGGAATCTCCACGATATTCATTGTCTCGTCAAGTACACTCCAGACGATAACTCGCGAAACGGAATTTGAGACAGAATCTTACGCGAAAGAATCGGTATTACGTTTATACAAATGTATTCACATCTACACGCGCATCCGTAAATCTTCAACGAACGTTGTATTGCACGGCGGTTAAAATTACAGAAGGGAATTCCGTTCCGTCTCGCAAGCTAGCAAATCTTCGAAGTGAACTCCCGACGTATATATATAACATATGCACCGAGTGAGTACATTCAATTGGTATGTCACAAATATAAAATGTATCGCGTGAGTCATATAATTTACAAAAATTGACCTAAACCAGTCTGTTCTAGCTGTGATTAATGGCAAGAGACGAGCGTCTCTAGCTTCCACTAGGGGGGATCTGTCGCGCGCTTCTGAATGATTCTGTGAAAAATTTCAATATGAGTCAGTAACTCACTGATGAGAGAGAACTCGAAGACAGCGTCGTTTTCACGGAAACTTTTTTTCTAAAATCGCGTTCGTTCAACGCTATCCGCTCGAGACAGAACGAGGTGACAAATGGAGCGCAACTTATACGCAACGCGTGCCGACAAGCACTGAAACAACTATCTCTCTATCTGTTTCCAACGCCATTTTACCTCGTCCCCTCCCCTCTCCGCCCGAATCGCACTCACAACCTTTAGAACCGACGGAGAATCTTCCTCCAGGGATACAGACATCAATCAGCGGATGAATCTTATAAGCCTAAACGAATCGCGATACAAACGTTCTCACATCACTCTTCGCACGATCCACGTTGATGGCAGTTGTGTGTGTTATTATTGGTGTATCGTATATCATTATATCGTAATGTAGTCCGACGTCTATATATGGATAACAACATCTCTATTATACACATTCTCTCGCGTGATAACGTGATCCTTCATACATCGTCGATAAAATTTTCATATCTCTATAACATCATCTTTCCGTATTTACCGGTTCTACACGCGATGCTCCTTCCCCGACGTATAAAATCAGACTTGGAATTACAGCACGTGTGTGTATACATATAATATATAATACCGAGGCCATGTGTGTTGTAACAAACGTTGCGATAACTGAGCTACAATTAGCGCTATAATTCTCGCTATCATCATCGAGACCACTTCGAGTGACTATTCATCCGTACAACTTAAATAGATGTCTATATGTATAATGTTGCAGGTAAAAACTTCTTTACATCTCACTAGCGCGAATTCGTGCTTGCGGGATTTCGCATGACATCAAATCCGGTACAAGATGACAATACTTACGAGCTAAGCGAATATAATAACGGGAATGCGCTCGCGCATTTCTCTAGAACGCGCGATTAATCCGTTCGCGATTATGCAAATGCATAACTGAAAATCGAAAGCAATATGTCCAGCTTCGAAATGAATTCGTTACGAAACATTCCGTGAAAATTATTCTCTCGGACGCGTATTCTTCGCCGAAGAGTGAACAAGGGAAAAGAGCTTGCAAATCAACAACTATACTTCACTAGGTGAGATACGCGCCACGAATATTATATCGTTAAAATTATTTCCTTTTACCATATGGGAACTGTTTCCTCTTCGAATATGTCGTATTCGACCCTAATTCTTCATACGATAAACAAAACGTGATGAAAGATTGATGTAAAGACATGTGTCTTGTACGTGCCACCGTCCGTCACTATTTTACAGACGCTGTCGAGTTCTACGTAGAAACGAAAATTCACAATGTATCAACACGATTGAAAAATGATACGAATTCCCCTAATTTGAGTAATAACCAATCGTGAACGGTCGCAGAAGTTATCGCGGAGGATATCTGCTAGCTGGCATGTTCTTCACCGAACGATCCTTCATGTCACTCGGATTGAACATCATTGGTCCCTAGAAATTAATTTTATTAAAAACACTCTCCCAAGAGAGATTGTCGTATGTATGAGAAAAGTTTACGTTTAAAATGCCCTAACAATGGAAAAGTCTTTTTCGAATTTGTGAAAACGTCTTATTTGATAATTAATATTTTTTTTTTTTTAATATAGAGATATGAATTTATACATGATAATGTATATTACATATACATACATATATACACACACATATATGTATATGTGATATTGTATATAATACAAAATGTTATAAATATGAATTAGCCAGGGAAAAAAGAATAACGTATATGTAAGCAGTAAGGGAACGTAAATTCTTTTATACTGTTATCATTTTTCGAATATTCGCCATTTTTACATAGCATGACAATAAAATGATAATAAAGGCAACAGTAAAATCGATCAACGAGTCGAGAATTCTTTTACAGAACCTGAAAACCCTCCCGATATATATACATATCCTTCAACATATCCTTCACCAAGCTTCCCCATGATTTTGTGATCGCGACCAATGACATCGTGAAAATAGCGTTTGATAAGCGTTAAGCTTAAAATTTTAGTAGTACACAAGCAGCGGCAAGTAACGAAAATGCCCTTACTTTATCCACGTACTCGTTAAAGCCCAGTTATTCAGGTCGTAATAATATGATGGTACTCAGTAGCGCTGAGTGACATTTCGGTAAATGTGTGATTACCTTGAATAAAATACAAAGAGAGAGAGAGAGAGAGAGAGAGAGTAAAGAATCAAAGCCGCTGGATTACCTTGGTCCGTTGAAGGAGCCGCGGATCCCTCATTGTGTAACTCTGCACCTCTCGTGATAACGAGCTGGTCGAGCTCCAGCGAGAGAGCTATATGCCAAATACAACACAACAATGTCGTCTCACTTAACAGTTATTCACCGAGTCGCAGTAATTAGTGTATTTTTCTTGTGTAATACCGATTTATCGTATGGTTACACATCACACGTGCTCGGCCCAGCTAAAAAAACAGGGTCCTGTATGTATGTTTGTACATACAAAGTCGTCCGACAAAGAAGCATAAAAGCTATTCTCACAGCAGTACAATCGCAGCGAAAATCGGTATTACCGTCTCGTGTGTACTGTTAATGGCGTGAGGTTTTTAGCGAATTTAGAGAAAGACGCTTCTTCATGCTTCGATTACATATATATATATATATATATATATGATGTAAGTGTACTGTTAGTGCATTATTTTACAAGAGAGATCATAAAAAATGCCCACAGCCAAAAGTATCACAGTAGTTTCTGCGTTAAGTGTCAATAATACCCGGCCACTTGCTAGATCCAGAGTTATTAGAGAGAAACTTTCAATCCTCGTGTCTGGATATTCCTGCATCATAACTGTTGATTATTCGAGAAAGCGGCACAATGTCTCGAAGCGGCCAATCTGTAACTGTGATAGCTTTACTGTAACTCGTGTCGGTAAAATTAATAATGATCCTAAATATAGTAAGTGGCTAGGCATTATTGACTCAATGTACAACTAATTCGGTGCACATATTAATGAAAGAAATCAATGATAAATAATGAGGAAAGGAGCAAAGCCATTACCAACAATCACTCACGGGACATGACACCACGGAAATTCTACACTACTTTTTATACATACAACACATTTTACATACAACAAATACAAATGCATTTTCGTAAGCGGTGAGTAGTACATATAAAGCGCGTGTAAGACATGAAATAATGACATGTAAAATTAATAAAATGAATGTCCTTACTATTAGCATAATTATTATTTGGCTACGTCATTCTGCTTCCCCGACTGCTTGCATAAAGGAACATAAAAAGACAGATTAAACACAGAGATACACAGAGAGGAGGAAGAATATCTGTAGCGAAACTCTAAGTACTCAAATACTCGCCGTTCACTAAACATAGGAAGCGACTCGGGTGTGTATTGAGTAATGCTATCGGAAACATCGTTTCAGCGAGTGTCTAATCCGTTCAGGGAAATGCTGGCTAGTCCCTAAATCAAGACGTCAAGACTTTCGCGGTGTGGAGAAATCCGGCCAATTTGTTCCCGACGGTTCTTCTTCAAAGAGAGGAACAATCTGAACCGGCGGTTTCTAAAAAGGCAAACTCTCCTGCCGAGGATTCGGTTGAAATTGTTCCAGAGGCCGCACCTATCCGAGCGTTTCTCCACATCGCGAAAAACATGATATTTCGTCAGAATTCCACATAAACGATTCTCGATCAACTAGACGGAGGAAATGAAGAGACATCAATGATAAATGTGAGGATCGCGATACCTCGAGGAACATCAACTAAACTAGAGAACGACCATAGAAATTATTTACCACAACGAGATTTCGGAGAATAAAAGAAACGTTAACATTACAATTCCAGAGACACGCCGAAGGAAAGGCTAAGCTGCATACCAGCAAACTGCAGCCACAACGCAGGGGAAACAAACGTGAGTCTGTCACGAGGGGATCTCTATCATGTGTAACGGTAATATAACGGTATCGAAGGTAATGAACGTGGTTCGCTGGTGTATTTGCGTGGGAAGATACGTACTGTTTGCGGCGTATTTTCGGCGACGTTTCCGGATGGCGCGACGGCTGCCGGAGTTAAGAAATCCACAGGAGCGGTTGGATCGTTAACTGCCGGGCAAACGTCTCGTTTAGAAAATAGCCGGGAGACGGAATCGAAAGAATGACTCACTTGGCATGGGAACGAACAATTGCGGGGACGAAGTAGCCATCGGTACGAGCGGGGACGTCACGGGGGTGGGCATGTTGGACGACGCAGTGCTACTTTTGGATCCGCCGGGATTCATCACGTCCACGTAATTGGCGCGCATGCTCCTGACCTTCGGTAGTTTGTACATATTGCTACCGGTGACCGATTTCGGAGGATCCGCCGCCGCATCCTCGTTGTGAGCGCCCGGTAGAAGCTGCGGACCGCTGCGTTCCATTGTTGGTGCTCGGAAACTCACGTCGGCCGCCTTCGGCGGTGGTGCCAACGACGCAGCACCGTTGTCGCCATCCTCATCCTTGTTCGTCCACTTCTTGGCGACAGGATCCCACACGATCTGCGATACAACACGGGGAAAAAGTTTGTTCGCGATCGTTCTGTTACCAAAAGTATCGACACTTACCGTTGGGTTGCTATCGTCCGGCAATATCATTTGATTTTTCGGCTTCGGTGCGAGTTTACTGAACAAGCCGCCGAACCAGGAGCTACCGCTATTAGCGGCTTTCTTCTCGGTCGCTTTCTCGGCTGCTTTCTTCGTCTCGGTCGCGGATTTCGGTGTCTCGAGCGCATCTAACTCCTCCAACGGATCGTACTGCTTACTCATCGACGGCGTCATGGAGATTGTCGGCTGCATAGGCTGGAATAAAATATACGATTGATCATCGCAAGCTTGTCCCGGCAAAGTTTATCACCGAGATCGGCCCTTTATCAGCGCTTCTCGAGAAAACAGACTTATCAAATACTTCGTATTTTTTTTGGGGGGGGGGGGGNGGGGGGGGGTAATTCGCGAATGAGACGTTCAAAGTAAAATCAACGTTAGGAAACGGAAGGAAAAAAACACACAAGTTCGGATGAATTGCTAACGAAAGATCGCGTACGCGATCCCAAGAAGTTCGAGCAAGTGCATAGTGTGACAAAACTTTATTATACGATCGACGCTAACAACACGTACATTGAACTTACTATATAACGCCGTGAAACCTCGTGAAGTTTCACGACGCTAACGAACGCCTTTATCGATAACAGAGCTACAGTCACATATTATTATCTCATATTGGTTATACGCGCTTACGGACTACCATCGTCTCACTCGGTAGGAATATCAATGTCGTAAGTGATGTTCCTCTGAGCGGAGGAGACGTTTCTAAGCGGCAAATCGATCGGATACGTGCCACCGAAAACGAGCGGCTTGTACCCGGACGATTCGAAGGCGTTCGACCACGCGTCCACCGTGTCGCAAATGACATCCTTGCGGCGTATGTGCGGCGCCACCCTCATCACTTTCTTCTCGTCGAAGTTACAATACTGCTTCAAAGTTTGCTCGTTCGCGGCAGCCACCGCTTTGGCGGTCGACGCGATCAGAGACTCGAGTTTCAGCTTGCTAAATTGAATGTCCAGGTCGGTGGTTTGCGACACTATCTTGTCGTCCGCCGACGGGCTCTTATTTCTGACCTTACATTTTAGGAACACCGGTGGTTGCGAACACGGCGGTTTCGTGGCGTCCGTACGGCTCCTGATATCTCGCGGATGGTTTGGCGGAATTTTCGGATAGCTCGCGGTCAATTTAGGATATTTCATGCTCTTGCGAGAGGCCCTCGCCTCGAGATTAACGGACAGATCGTAAAACGTCGGCACGCCATCGGCACTAATATTATTCATCGCTGATGCGATGGATTTCGCAGAAACATTACGGCGTCGTAATGCGCTAACGGCATCCGGCGAGCTTACAGGATCGGGATTATTATCCAGAGTGAGTCCACAATTACTTACTTCGGGAGTGGGCGTTTTCTCTTCCCTTTCCTTTCGATGTGCGAGCACCAAGAAACAGGTGAAAAATGTTAGTGTCTCGGAGCAAATGTTGGGTGTGAAATTAGTTCAAACAAGAGAGAAAGATGTTTTCTGTGTTCAAAATGGATTACACACCTGATAAAAATAAATGAATACAATACCAGCACAGAAAGAAACGAGTCGTATAAATGAATTACACAAATATGAGAATACAAATGCGATGGTCTTCTGGCGATGAAAAGGAAAAAAAAAAGCGCAGCTATCAATCTCTCTCTACGAGATGTTCAGTTTTACCTCATAGTTCCATTTGTCCTGCTGTTGTGCGCTATCGATCTCAGCCTGATCGGCCGGCTGCCAGTTGGACGGCGTTGATTCCTTCCTCCCGTAATTGCCTTCATAATACGACTGCTGATTCCAATAATCTTGCTGCTGCTGCTGCTGTTGCTGCTGATATTGAGCGGACTCGTCCATGCTTCTCATGTATTGCGGATCGTACGTTTCTTGAATGTTCGTAGGCAGAGACAGAGGTTGCCAGTCTGACTTGACCTCGCCGCCGGAAGAGACTTCCATCATCGACGCAGGCCCGTCGGATTGAACGGTGTTCCAGTTCTGTTGTTGCGTCTTCATTTCTTGAATCTCCTGATTTTGCGCATTAGCACGGGGATCGACACGAGCGTTGTCGGCCATTTCACCGTTCTGCGATAAAATTCGAAATTTAGCGAACGATTGTTCAATCCTATTATTCGGACATAATTACCTGATATTTCCCGACTATTTCCGCCAATTTGTTCAGCCACATTAAATTCGCGGCATCTTCGGTAGAATCTTTGCAAATTGGATCGTGGTACTTGATTCGATCGCCCAACGTGTAGACAGCTTCGATGAAGGATCTCTTGTAGTTGGACGCGTCGTTCGCGACATTCGTCGCGATCTGTTCGATATATAGCAGAGCCTTCTCCATTAATCCGCAGTCCACCATTTTCACGACCAGGTCGAACTTGAATTTTTGCAGGTCCACCAGTGTGAAGCACGGATCGCTGAGATTCCGAGCGTACTCGTAAATCTCCGTTAACATAACCGCTTCCGTGGTGAGGAACTCGGAATACGGCTTGTTGTGGTTTGCGCCGATCAATACGAGTTTGACTCCGTTGGTCCCGTAGGCCCCAAAATCAATTTGCGCGAGGATGTAGCAGAAGTGCGCCGCGTGGATGTCCCCCCTCGCGGACAATGTATCGCCGAGGGTGGTTATCGATCGGCGGTTCACTTCAGGATTGGCCGAAGTATTGGAGATAATCATGGCCAAATGAGGCCGCCAATCATCCCAACGCGGATCCGCGACGCACTGTAAAACGGATATGTCAGAAGAAAAAAAGGAAGGAATTTTCATGAAATTTCTCACCGTGACTATGGCTGGTACGCGACCAGAATGTAGCTGGTACAAGGTCTGCAGTGGATCATGCGGCGGCAAGCTGTTTGCAAAACGAGTCATCACGGAAGCGTGTGTGCGTCTGTCCAATTTGCTGGCCAAGAAGAGAGCATGGCCCCAGAGTCCCTCGTTCATCGCGTACTCTGTCGTGGAAAGGGAGCCGGTCAGCACTCGTCGATTACAACTATATATTATCAATTCATACCCAATGCTTCTTGAACCAGGCCGTAGAGTAACGTATTTCTAAACTCGTCTGTTATTTGCTCGATGGTTTTTCGTTGCTTGGTTTCGGTCTTGTCGGACAGCGTGGAAATGTCCTGAGTACTTCCGTCACCGCCCGTCGCTCCGGATCGTTGCGATATCACGGACTCCCTGCGTCCCACATCCTGGGATTTAGGTTTGCTCGCGTCGTATGGATAAGCATCCTTGTTACGCAGTAAGAGCGTGGCGATATCGACTCCGACGACGTTCTACGCAGAGTAAGCGACTTCTCTTTCAACCGTTTTAACAGGGAGGAGAAATCATGTATTTACCCCGTTCTGTTGAATCAGCATAATCATCAGTTCATACAGCAAAATGTACGAAGCGCGGTCGACCATCTCCTCGCTTGCCCTCTTGATTTTACTTTCGCAATATTCGATGATCGTTTTTTTGTGCGTGACGCCACTGCAATATCAAAAGCATTTTGTCATACACACGTTATCTTTGTATCACACTGTTGTCCTGAATGATACCAACTTGATCAGAGGTCCAGGGTACGATCGTAAATCCCGTGCGACAGGATCGTACAACAATAAGTTGTCTATACGAAAAATGTCGACTTTAGCTCTCTCGCCGTCGGCTGGGTAACTAGGATGAACGTGTACCAAAGATCCAATGGAGAAGCATCCTGCGGACAAATTCGCGTTTAAACATCGTTTCGCCCGACAATAACACATAAAATCCATACCGTATGCGTGAGACGTGGAAAACTTGGTCGGCGTAACCCGAGCCGAAGTAATTGCCGAATCCTCCAACATATCACCTAAAGTTCGTTTGTCACCGGCGGTCCTGAGATCAATATATGATTCTCTTTGAAACAATGAAGAAGCAAGTCGATATATTGATTACGCGAATGAATAAATAAAGCGCATGTAAGTGCACGGGATGGCGTGAAATTCTTCCGAAATCGATCATTTCTAAAGGCTGGTTGAAAAAGCAGGGCAGAACTTTCTTGAGAGCATCCTTGTGACGCGGTAAGAGCGAGTAGTTTTTTTTTAATTATCCCGTTATGAAGCTGCATTTTAGTGCGGCCGTAAACTGCAGAGATAGCGATACAACAGTCGATTTTAGTACATCTAGCGAGCTACGCTTCGTCTTCCGGCTTAAAAGACTTAAACCGAGAGTCGGGAGTCTCGGTCTCACCTATACAGATTGCGACTACGCTCCCGCAGATTCCCGGCCCATCCGTAGTATCCGAAATAAGGCACGTGCAGCGCTTTGTTTGGCGAACGGAAACATGCACTCGGACAAAATCTGACGAACGTTACAAAAATCTCGTACAAACGAATGAGTAAGCCTCCTTTCGAATGTTTCAAAAAGCGTACCTATCATCACAAGAACTACGACCCGAATGAACGCTGGCTCTGTCTTCCGGATAATTGCTGACGCCTCTGGCGATGTGCTGCGATTGCTGATGTTGGCCGCTGTAATATTTGTGGTACCACTCGGAATAGGCGGCAGGATTCGTCCGGCGTAGATTCTCGAGATACGCGTAGTAATTGTTACCGTAATGAGCATTATAATCATATCCGCCGTATCCTGCAATTAACAGAGACGAGTAAACATTTCTGCCTCTCGTTTTTTTCCTCTCGCAACACTCACCGTTGTAAGCGTAGTAAGGATCCCTGGCACGCATGTAATATTCACGGTCCCTGTCGTTGTAAGAAGACCTACTTGAGGGCCTGGAACTGACAGAATCAATATTTATTGAAATATCAATATCACAATACAGAGAGAAACATACCTTCTTCCGTAAGGATCGTCGTAATACTCTCTCCTGTACGGATCCCTCATATCGTAGTCGTCGTACCGTCGGGATCGCCTGTCGTCCCTTCGTCTCTCGCGATCCACGTAGTCCCGATCCCTGAAAAATCGCGAATCGTAATCCCTCGGATCTCGACGACGCGGATCGTCCACCCTCCTGCGGTCATCCGGCCTTCTCCTGCCGTCCCTCTCATCCGGATCTTCTTTTCCTCGGATCCTTCTGTCCACCACATCTTCCCTACGATCCAGATCGTCGCGACTGTGCTTGCGGTCGTCGTCTCGGCGTTCGAAATCGTTGTCGCGCCGGCGATCGTAGTAATAGTCGTCCTCGTACTCACGCTCGTAATACGCATTCTTCCGCTCGTATTCGTACCTCCGACGATCGGGACTGGCCTCCCGTCGTCTCTCCCTGCTATCCTCGCGACTATTGCCGGACTGGTCGTCTTCGTCCGAGTCCCGACGATTCGGAACGCTCTCACCCTGAGACGCGCCCACCGCCTCCTCGCGTTTGTTACGCGAGTCGCTCGTCTGATCTTGCTGCATCGCAGCCACCACCTCCTGGGAGCCGGTGACCACTCGGCCGGCCGTCCTGTCGTCCGTCGACGTCTGCGCGACGTCGTTCGGGGACGCTCCGCCGGGTATCTGCCGGAGCTCCGCGTCCGTCTGCTGCGCCGCTTCCTCGGGCTCCCTGCCGGGTACTTGGCGGGTCTCGCTCGGCTCCAGAGTGATCTGCCGTGACCTCTCCTCCCCGGACGGATCGTTGCGCGGCAAGGATCGCTCCCTGCCGGATGGATCGTTCCGTCGCTCCAGCGCGTCCGAGTCGGCGTTTCTCTCCTGCCCTGGCGGAACGTCGCGACGTTGCTCTTGACCCGAAGGATCGTTCCTCCTCGGGTCGGACAGACGCTGCCCGTACTGTTCCTGACCAGTCGGATCGTTCCTGCGCGGATCCATGCTGCTCGATTGGCCCGGCACCTCGCGCAGGAACGGAATATCGTTAGGCACTTCGTCGTTCTCGTCGTCCTGGCTGGGCGGGGTCGGCTCGTGTTCCTGATGCGAATCGGTCAGTTCGCCGGTCTCCAAAAATGTGTTCCTATCGTTCGACGCGAACTCGTAGTTGTCCGGCGTCTGCTCCAAAGGTGGACGCACCACCTCGACGTTGCTCGCCTCCTCCCGGAAGTCCCGCTGGTTGGCCTCCTTCGGTTTCGGCTCGTTGTCCAGCGTCTCCTTGTTGATGGAGTCCCGCGAGCCGTAGATATCGCGTTCTTGCAAGCTCGTCGTGACGACCTCGACGTTCACAAAGTCCGACGTCTGCTGGATGTTTTCGTAGTTCTCGACATTCTGCTCGGCGTTCCACTGCTTGGGTGGACGATCTTTGCCGTACCACGTGTTCTCCAACGCGCTCTGCTTGTACCACTGATCGTATCCGCTTTGCGAGACGTTGCCCTCCTTAGCGGCGCCGCTCTGATATGAGTTCTCCGCCGGTGGTAACACATTGTCGGGCACGGAGGAGTGGATGTTAAACGATTCGTCGGCCGTGTTGATACTGAGCTGACCGAGGTTGCTCGATAACTCGTCCGCGGGAGGGAAGTCGTTCTCGCTGACGTTCTCCTCAGTCGTCGACTTGACGTCGCTCGGTTTCGCTGGGATCGTCGATTCGTGCTGTTCGTCATCTATATTGGGTACGTAGTGAAACGGTGTCGTCGCCTGCCAGTCGTTCTGCGCAACCCTCCAATCTGCTGGAGACTGCCAGGAGTTGAACGACTCGTCCAAGTTGTTCGTTTGCACAGGTTGATGGGTCGACGTTGCGGCGTTACCCGCTTCATTCACAGTCTGATGTCTGCTGTTCAACATGGAATGTTCCTTCATTTGCACGCATTTGTTATTCGCATTGTCGACCGGCTCGTCTTGCCAAGCATGGCCCAGCATGTCGGTATACTTCTGCCAATTATGCTGCGACGCCGAGTCATCTTTGTTCCAGCTGTAATTATGCGACGCTGCGCTCGATTGCGGCGGCTCCTTCTGCGGTGGCGCGAATCTCTGCTGCGCGGTGTATGCAGCGGCGTTCTGTGCTTGCTGCTGTTCGTCAGCCCACTGAGAATGCTCGTAACCGGTGGCGACCTGTCGACGTTGCAACGGATACTGCTGATTTTGATTGTAGTTCGTGTAGAAAGAATCCGTGTAATTCGGGCCAACTTGACGCGAAGACTCTGTCCTGGGTGTGTTCCTGCCAGACACGGAGTTCTGATTAAGTAGATCGGTCACATCGTTGTTCAGGTTTTTGTAATAATGATCCTGGACGGGATTGGATATCAACTGTCCTTGGTTCGGATATGAGGGTATATAATGTTGCTGCTGTTGTTGTTGAGTATCTGATTGCTGATCCAGATTCCAATCCCAGGGATCCTTCCATGTATTGTTAGTGTGTTTGGATTGATTCACGACAGATGGCTGCTGGATAGATGCTGACGACGAAATATCCGACTGTGGTCTTGGCATAGGCATCCACATATTTTGATTATGTATTCCATAAGCAGCGGAATGGTCCACCCGAGATCTAGTCGGTCTAGCACGGTAAGGATTCTAAAAGTATATCATACCATACCGCATAGTATCCTGCTATATATTACACGTGTCAGTCATAATATGAACACAAGATCTGTTGTATACTTACATTCATGCTGCCTGCGAGACAGTATGACTATTAACAGCAATTTTATGAGATCTGTAAATTAAAGAATAAACTAAAAATATAAACTTATACGCACATACATAAATACACAGAAAGGTATATTTTAAAGATAAGGAGGCTTTGTAGAAATGACGAAGCATTTACCACAAAAATACGCTAAAAGATTTTTGAATAACTTTATCTCAATATACATCGCTTTTTCATTTCGCACACGTATCTCGATGACGAAACTTTTATAAACCGCGGTCGAAGATAACGACGATCAAACAATTATCAAAGGAAAAAATGTTTGCTTGGCCGAATCTGACGGATGGCTACCCACAAGCTGAGGAAACGCTTGTCACCGTAACGCTAATAGCCTTCGTACACGGATGTGAATTATAAATGGGTCATTAGTCGTACGGCCTCACACACGACGCGTTGAACCTCCGTACACGATAAGTGTGGAAATGTCTTAAACGCAGGCAAAAACGATGCTTCGATAACAGCAGTTTCGCGACATTCCGGAGCAGCGATAAGGATCGTAAAACCTCTCGGAGAGAGAGTGTTACTCGCATATTTCACGTAATTATGTAACGGCGGAGACGCGAAAAAGCGTTTCTCCGACAGATCAACGGCCACCGGATCATCGAGCAGGAAAAAGTCACGGTGGTGCGCGAGACGAACCGAGCGACGACTTACCAGCTGTGAGTGTCGCGGGACGGTAGCTCGCCGCCAAGGAGCTTGAGCGCGCGCGTTCACTCACCTAAGCTATCGTTGCTCGCACCGCCGCCTCCGCGCGCCTGGCATTATTGTTCCTCGCCAGCCGTTTTTCTTGATTCTGTCGTAAGGGAACGTGATGGCCGCGCGCGGTCACGATATTTCACAAATACACGGGCATCTTACTGGGAGCTATACGCGCGACAGAAGGAGAGGGAGAGAGTAAGGAAGAAGAAGAGAGAGATACACAGGTCAAGCACGTCACAAATTTTTCCTCCGAGCTGACTTTCCACGCGAGCAGAACTGCGCAACGCGTCGGCGCGAGCCCTGCAAACGTCAAAGCGTGAGCTTCACGGGACGACCGCGAGATGGCAACGGTGGTAGCGTTCGCTACGTTGTCGTACGAGCATTGGCTATCGGATTGATATTTTCTGGGGTACGTTCCAAAATCCTATTCAACTGGTAGCAGTTGATTGACCAATCGGGACCAAAAGATTTCTTTATCATGTTTGGTTATACTACTCTATCCGTTGGATAGGGTTTTAGAGCGCATACCAGGAAAAATGTCATGCACATTGCATCTGACGTGTGATCCGATAGATTTCATTTTTTAAAGTTTCTAGCTAGTTTGTTTCCAGAAAATAGTATTTTCCTATTGGATATCGGACGTCAGACGCAATGTGAATTCTGCATTTAAGGCATAATTTACTATTGTAAGTACATTTGTTTGTTTTAATTGTACTTTTGGCATATTTAACGTGGTAATAATAACAACGGTGGTTTTTTCTTCGTGCCCGACGGATAACAGTTCGTCGAGCGTGAAAGTCGACATTATATCTGTTATTAGAATGCTTCGGAAAATATCGAAGCCTCTAGTGAATCATTCTTTAAACGCTTCAAAGCCCACAAAATGTCAAGCGGATCAAAGCTTTAGTGTGTCAACAGTTGGCATATGCGATGGGACAAAGAAAAGTTTGCTAAGTAGTAACGATTTATAAAAGCAGAGAGAAAAAGCATCTTTGATGAATTCGACGGTAAATATACTCGTTTCCTTTACGATGTAGCACGTATCGAGTTTACTGCAAGGTAAACTTTCTAACCTTCTTTCAACAGATCAGCCAAGAATCTAATAACCGCATTATGTACATTATTTCACCGTCAACAATATAATTTCTTTATATCAGATTGTTAAAAAAAATATCACTTGAAATAACTACAGCAAGTTGGCGTGATTCAATATTCTTGAGGTAGTTGAAATATGTGATGATAATTGAGTTGCGTCATCAATTCCATGCCATTGTTATTCTATATAATGTTCTTCAATAATTTTGACTTTTAAATGACAACAAATATCCTTAATGTAATACAGAATACTGTATTATTAATTTTTTTTATTATAAAATATTATTCATATAATTACATGTACATAAATAATAAAAATGCTATTTAGGATATGCATGTTATATTTGTGATGTAAAATAATTAAATTGTGATGTAATATAATTAAATTTATAATTAAATCTGAAAACTTTTGAAAATACAATTATCCTTTATACATTCTGTAAAAATCCATATAGATATCCTGAAAAGATTATTCTGAATATTTATTTTTTAATTAAATTTTATTTTGTATTCATTTCATATTGTTTACCTTATTTGAGTAAACCCTACTTTTTATTCTTGATTTAGTTTAGCACAATTAAAAGTGATTTGCAAACAAATTTTTCCCAACCTTACATTAAGTTTTTATTACAATTTTTTTTTCTTTATTGCAGCTACTTCCCAAGAAAACAAAAACAATGTCCCAAACAACTACCATTGAAACTGTTACCATAACCAGACCACTCAAGGTAAGATAGAAGCTTAATTTTACAATGCAATAACTATTGTACTAACATTTTCAGTAAAAAAACTACATTCTCTCTTACTACTCTTATAATAAGAATATTATAATATTGTTTTTAGTGAAAATCAATTGTCACTGATCATTTTTTACAAAAATTTATTATATAATTATATATATATATATATATATATTCTCAAACAGTTTGTGTACAAGATAGATTTATTAGAGCTAATGACACTATTAGAAACAAGAGAAAGGAGCGAAGGGAGAAAGAGTTAAAAAAAGGCTGGGAAGGAAGGAAGAAAAGTCGAAGAAAAAGAAACGGGCGAGCGCAGAGATTGGCGCTCGCGCGCACTGCGCCGCGACCTTTAATGGGCGCTGATGGGCGCAGCCTCCCTGGAACCTGGAATCCGATTGCTTCCCCCCCAGTCGCGGAGAATCCGTGTTCCCGGTCGAGACACGATTCTATCTCTCTCTATCTCTCTCTCTCTCTCTCTTTCTCTCCTTCCCTCCCTCCCTCTCCTCTTCTCTTTCTGTTTTCTTTTCCGCGAGATATATTCACGGGGAAGATCGTCCGTTTCGTCGGTGTCCCGACCGGCGTTTCGAACGCACTGCCGCACCTCCGTGCTCCGTCCGCCCCGAAAAAGTAGCTCGCGCGCGCCTCGCTACGCACAGAGGGGTTGCCGATAGTGTCGTAGGCCAGCGTGAAAGCCGTTGACCCGCACGCGATCAACCCCTCCGCTATGTGAATTCGCACTTATTTTGCGACTTTAAAAGGTGCGCGCGTGAGAACGTCTTTTCGCGTCGCTAGGTCGTTCGTGATAGGAAAACACTGAAACAATGTCCTGCATGCGTCGCCGCTGTTTCATCGTCGTGACAGCGTAGTCGGCCGCTCGTCTTTAAGATACCGACAAGTTCCTCGCTTCTTTCCGTCAGCTCCGGAATTATATTAAGTGTGTGTGTGTGTTTACCTCTGACCGCGAGTTAGTAGAGTAAGATGATTATGTACACGGTCGCCGAAGATCATATGGGCGATAATGAGATCGCGCAGGTATGTCCTTATTCATTTGTCACAAGTTAAAAGATAGAGAGAGATTTATTTCTTTTACCTGCATTTTCTTGTGAGCTCGCTCTTGAATTTTTCCTCACCACTGATACTATAATACGGCGCAGCTAAACAGGTTTTGTCAGAGAATATGTAAACGATGTTGCACGTTACTAATCTATTCATCTCAAAGTTATACCTCGGTCATGTTTGCAGGTGATCGCGTTCATATGCGGGATCATAGTGATACTGTTAATGATAATGGGTCTTGCATCTACCGACTGGCTGATGGCTCTGGGCTGGAGGCAGGGTTTGTTCGCTCACTGCATCGAGGAAGGTGCCCCAACACCTCTGCCTTTCAATATGCCTGATCCTCCAGGATGTTATCAAGCCAGAGATAACGGTATGATTCGTTTGGTCTGATCAATGCCGAACGAATAATTATTCTAAATTTGATTTTGCAGCTTATATAAAAGCAGCCGCTGCCTTGTGCGTGGTGTGTCTCTTGACAGATATCGCTGCGACGATTCTCACTGGGCTTGGCTTGCGAACGCAAGATCACAGGGATAAGCACAAATACTACAGATTCGCAGTATTTTGTATGGGTATTGCACGTGAGTGTTTTGTAGGAAGACCCCTACTTTTTTTCCTTCCCTTTCTGTATTAATATTCATTTTGTGTTTTAGTGGTGTCTCTTTTGATCGCACTGGTCATATATCCTGTATGCTTTGCGGCAGAACTGAATCTCGGTAAGATTTAAAAGTACTTTTTTACTATTCCTATTTCTACATAGTAAATAAAGACTAGAGGACGTTAAAACGAATACTAATAATATTCAAAATATAGCTATGATGTTTAAAAAATAATTACTTATTTAGAAAGTGTATTAAACATATATTCTTTATATTGAAAATTTCCAAAGGGAAATTATAAACGCTCGTTGCGACACATCTATTAACTTTGTGATATCAAGTCTGATCGAATATGTAAACAAAATGTATAGGAATCATCTAGTTGAATTTACGAAACACACTATTTTCAGGTAATCGCACCATGTGGGAATTTGGTTGGGCATACGGAGTCGGTTGGGGTGCAGCTATTTTTCTGTTTGGAGGAGCGGTACTGCTGCTGTGCGACAAGGAAAGCGAAGAAATTTATTACAAGGAAAGAAAAATCGTTCGCGACGACATTGGAGGCGGTAATTCCATGATCGGTATGGGACATCACGCCGGACGAAGTGGAACGCAGCTAGCCTAGTGGCATTGCTCCCTGCCCGATGTTGTTCTCTAGGTGATTTATTTTTCTGCTCTCACAGTTCGACACGGGAAGACGTACATGCCTATGAGAATACTTGAGAGTTTTCGTTATCGGTGATTTCGAGATATCCGGTATATAGTGAATCTGTTCATTAGATGAGTATTCGAGTTACTATCAGTTTAATATAGGATACATAATGTCCTATTAAAGGAACGACAAATATTTCGATCCTCTTATTTCCGACTATTCCTGATTTAGCAATCGCAACTTTTATACAACAATTTTGGGACCATTATTAGCTGAATTCCGTTACACTTCCTACATTGTGCATAATCTTGAACAATTTTATACACACGCGTGCGTTCGCGTATATAGTGTTTTTACTGTGATTTAAAATTGGAAAATTTATGTCCACACGTGACGATGCTGCATTTATTATCAGTCAAATTGATAAGGATATTGTATTTATTATTATGTCTAACATACAAAGAATCTTTTTCCAGCGTAAATTTTAAGTTTTTTACGCACAAATGGAGACACGTACACATACACATATACGCCAAGTTCGGATTCAATTTGTTTTTGAATGAAGTTTCATCCGACATCTTCTCCTTTAATATCGAGTATTAAATAAAGCCAAATATGAAGAGAGAAAATCCGTTAAATTAAAAGTTCATTTCCTATTAAGTGAAGGATAAGATTTCTCGTCTGTTTGCACTAGCTCTATGAAATCCGAATACACTCTGTAATATCAAAATTTACATTCGGGTCTTTACATCCATATACATCGAGCAGAATTTTTTTTATTACAGGATTACTAATATGTTGCTGCAATGTTTTGCGAGATTTCAGCAGAATAAAATAGCCATCTTCAAGAGATAGCGGTGTAATGTTCATAGTGAATTACGAGTGTGGTAATAACGCGAAGTTGCTATAAACATGCAATAATGTTATCAATTTTAAATGCACATGTGGGTCGCAGTGTGACAAGCCGCGTCTTATTCGATACTGCTTGGGTTCCTCACATTAACTCAACTACGCTAAACTATACGCCATTCTTCATGTTCTGGCCGGTGATAAGTCGACAATTTTCAAGATTCTGATATATTCAGTAGCGCGCAAATTTTACATGCGTAAATTGAACGCTGCCTGTCGGACGGTTGAACGTAGCATTTAAACGTTACTGCAGTACTTTTGCAATACACTGAATGGAACTTTGCGAATCCAATAACAATATCTCTATAACATTGCACTGCAACTTATAAGATTATAGTGTTGCTACGACGCAGCCGAGTGTGATTCAACAGCTGTACTTTCGTGTTTATCATTGTGAAAAGAAATGTGCAAGCAGATATAATGAAAAGTTTTATTCTTTCTTAATTTTAAGCGAATTTATATATCTTCAACAGTATTTTTGTTTGAGGCTTCGTTACACCATCTTTAACGTTAAGTATGAATGAATTCTTAAGAATACGCTCGACCAAATTTTCGACCAAGAAGAATCGACGTCAAATTCGTCAAACGATATGTAACAGGAAGTGCGTGACGCTTTGAATCCTATCTAGGGTACATGTTTATCTCATTTACTATTTTGCGAACAATTTTCCACATTATTCAAAATTTTCGTCAAAATTTATTTGAATTATGATATATTATTAACACTTTTGATTTTTTTTACTCAAGAAGTCGGCAGAGTGTTTATTTTTATCAGGCTTTTTGTAAATGGTGTATATATTATAGATATTAGTAATTTATTATTAATTTTTGTGCACACACATATACACAGTCTTTCATTTCTTTTTTTCTCTTTCTTCTCGAACCTTCCTCTTTTCCTTATTTTTATTTTTACTTTATGTACAACCCACATATATTTGACATATATTGATGCTGGTATTGACACTAAGTATATGATTTAATATTATATAATCTAATATAAATATATATTATACATTTTTGTTATTAACACGTATTTGCGTATGTTAATAATAAATATGTATATATTTATATTGGAACCTGTCAGGATTTTATTGTGTACTGTAAATCTTGGACATGCGTAGCATGAGAGGGGGCAGAAGAGGGGATATTTACTTAATATATATGGTTTAATATGAACTTAATATAAAGCCCCACAAATAGTTAATATAACATCTTATTTATAGAGCTCTTATTATTATACAACGTGTAAAAATCTCCCCTCTAATTTACAACTTGCGTAAATAACTTGATTACAGACTGACACCGTTTATTTTAAATATAAAAATGATAGTATGTGGCTGAGATGATGTCTTGTTTACTTACGTCCGCTACTAGCCACTTTCAAATAATTCGTTAGTTACTAACCGAAAAAAATGTGTATGCGTTGTCGTCGTTACGGAAAAAAAGAAATGAGTAGATTACGAAAGCTTTACCATTGCTCGGTCATGTATACGGTATGCTGATCGTCATCCTTATCCATTGTATTGCCTGTTAATTATGAAAAGACTGTAGTAGTAGTATGCATCGGAAAAGATGTGGGCCTTGTGCAGCATGAAAGATAAACAATCAGTCTCCATATCATACGCTTGTGAAACAAAATTTTACATTACGAAGCGTAGCAGTGACCATCGTTTGTAGACGAATCTTGAACTTACCTCATGTATTTTTTAAGTTGAGTTAAAGCACAAGACATTTAAGTACGGATGATGGAACAGAGGCAGCTCGGGCAGACATTATTTATTATGCGTTATTTGCATTAGAGATACGTACATGTGTATATATAGATATAATATTTTATAAAGTACATATGTAGTTTACATATATAGACCGCGCGTTATTAACTCGCAGGTGTATCAATCCGAAGCGACGTAACACGCAGATCCGCCATACGACCAGCCTATTAATTACTAACATTAACTACGCGTTGTATCTTTTATCAGATAACGTCAACTTGCGCAATTAGTGCAATACGATGTGCTTTAAGGAATAAGCAAGAGAAGGAAATAAAAGAAATATTCGTTAAATTTTTTAATGTTCTCGGTCAATACGATTGGAAAGCTGAAGGACGAGGTACTACTGAGAGAATCGAGTACAATGTTGTTACATTATATCCTGCTTAAATATAATAGATTTTCTATTCTTTATGACTGCTTCATCCTCTACCTGCGTAGTACTTTATCACATAAGAAACGATATTGCGATGTAAGGAGGTAATAAGGAATTAATACAAGGTGTATGTAATAAATTCGTACACAAAGCTGCATATATATATATATAATGTATACACAAGGCAGCATATATCGATAAAAGCAATATGTTATATCGGTTTTATGTATAATACGTAATTCTGTCACCTATTTGCGAAAGATAGATAGAATGTGTCCAGTATAATGTTTTTCAAGAGCACAGAGAAGCATTTGCTCCCAGAATGAAAAACACATATCTGAACATACTTTTTTATCGAAATTAAAAAAACTAATTAGTTTCTAAGGTTATCGCGAAGTAAGTTTTTTACGGTTAATGATAAAGTAAACAATAGATTGATTCAAATTTATTGACTCGGTCACATCTGCTTTTGTAAATTGGCGACAGAATTTTAATCGCCATCGGTCATCGTGAATTCGTCATTTTCTACTCTATCATGAGATACTATTGTGCGTGTATCATTAGAACAATTCATGTTATTACTATCCATAAATGTTAATTTAGAAATCGAAATGGGACACTGTCACCAACATACGATTTTTGTAGTAACATTATAGTGATAGATATATAAAACTTTATTATTCATAAAGAACACTGTGGTCCATTGGTAGAATTGACACACAACAATCTGTATAACAATCATTAATACACGTATACACACACACACACATATATATAGTTATTGACTTAATTATATTACACACACATCACATTTAGATGTGCATTCAACCGCAGCATCAGCAGCATGTATAGTACTTTAAAGTATATACATATCGCACTTAATGTAATAAGTATACCTTTACATATAAGTATAGATATAATATATAAATTTACATATTACTTGTGCGCCCATACTCCAATGTTAACGTATCGTATTGTACAAAGAACAAAATATGTACAACGTTAAAATTATAACAACTACAAATTATAATTGTAATACAGGGTGCCCCATTTAATCAATGCAATTGCAAACGTAAATATTTAACAAGTTTGATTCCATCCACCAAATAGACATACTTCAATATATCTGCGTCGTAATTAGTATTTTACCAGTAAAAATAACCATATAAAAGATTATCTGATGCTGTGAAAATTGTGACGGTATTATAATGTCATAAATATTATTGCTTATTTTGCCCAAAAGAGAACACAATCTGAAATTATTGTAGTAATAAAAAGTCATCAAAAGTTTTGATTAAAATTCTGGCATAATAATTGAATATTTCTTAAAACAAATATATGTAAAACATATGCTATTGCAATGGCATCGCAGAGCATACATTAAATGTTTGCATACTATGTTTAAAATCTTTGTTTATCTGGGCATTCAGAGAAATGTATATTTAAATTGCATTGACGTGTCTATTCTTTTCTCTTTAGATAAGTGTTTTTTCCCTTTCAAAATTCGATAACCTTCCAAAATGCATTAAAATGGGACACTGTGTGTGCGTATATCTCCTTGCTAACCAAATGAGCCAAGTTTCTTTTTTTTCTTTCCTCTTAAATTATTCGCTTTTCCCAAATTTATCATGTATAACTATAGGATTAGTTTATCTCAAAGGAACATGATGGAAGATCGATTGCACTCGATAGGAGTCGCCGTTAAATCAGCATTTCGCGCTGATCCGTATAGACCCAATAGTTTCAAGATTCTGCCGAACGGGTACCGTTAAATCATCCGTTTAATAACGCGTTCCACTTATCAAGCGTACTTTCAGGACGCTAAAAAAAATGATAATCGCTCGAAAAATGTGACGCGAGTTCATACAGCTTCTAAAGCCAGTATCAAACTACGGATTGGAGATGGAGATTGAGTTAAAATTTGACCAATCAATATAAAGTTCACTAAATTTCACTAAACTTGAATTTAGATAACTTTGTACTGATTGGCCAAATTCAATCTCGATTCCCAATCCATAGTCTGATACGGGCTTAAGCAGCATTCTAGGGAGAAAAAAATATCTCTCAGCAAAGCTGCACTTTCCACTGAACGTGATCATTTGTCTGATATACGGCGACGGAATGTCCATTAGGAGAGGTCGTCGACTAGGGGTTCTCGGAGGAATGAGTTATCCTATTGGATGTCGCGTATTGAACACGGCCGGTGTGAATCCGCCGTGCGATCTGAAAAAAAGATTCACGAAAGTCTTGCGCCGGTGTCGCGCATTTATGGCACGTCTTGTATGCGCGCGATCTTGACCGTTAGAAAATTGCGCCATTTTTTAGTTGCCGAGCGCAATTGAATTGTTTAGTGGAAAGCAACCGCGTACGGTGAGCGTGCTGAGAACGGTCCAGATTATTTGTATCGCGGTGTTCTCTGAAATTAGTAAGTAGGCCTTCACCTGCAATCCATTCACCGATAACAACAATAATCCATCCACGTGTGCGGCTCCGTGACGATACGAGCGTCATCGGAGGGCAAGCGGGATTGATCATCGATCGAAATAACGAGCAGCGAGGAGACTCGTCCGAGCTCGTGTCTGTAAGGCCCCAGCCTGGAAGGTGACGGTGCAAACCGGATTGTTTCAGTCGGGATCACGATTACTCGCCTGACCGAACAAAATGTCGGTGGACACGCTGACCGATTCCGAGCTGCGGACCAAACTGATGGAGTACGGCTATCCGGTGGGACCGGTCACACAGACGACTCGTAAAATACTCGCTAAAAAACTCAAGAACCTGATTGAGACCCGCGGTGGCGTCGGATCCCGACATTCGTTAGCCGCGAGGTGAGTGGAACTCTCTCTCGGCTATATTATGTATTTTTCGTGTCTAGAACATCGCGCTTCAAATTGTCGCGATATCGTCGAGTTCTGATAGCTTCGTGTCAGTCGTGATAACGATCTTTATTTCTTCAACAATTTAAACACGAGGACTTGTGGAAGGCTTTGGCGCTTCCAATCAGTATTGCACTGGCTCGACGACAATTAACAAAAGATCCTTCTTCCCGCACCTATGATATTGAAAACTGGGCTCAATTGTTCCAGTTTTATTCTCCGACAGACAAAGATCTTTATACAGAAAGTATAACCATGGAGAAGTTCCCCAAAGCTGAGTTGCAACATTTTTATATTCAGCATTAATTTTAGTTGTTCTCATCATTTTCACTGTTTCTGTGATACCGATATGATTGTAATTTAGAAAGAAACGAAACAATCACAAAACTATACTTTACTCCTAACTTGAGAAAACTTTATTCTACTGTTCGATAGACTTCTGTGGTTCATTATATAAATAATTAAGGATACTTTGAGGACACATAAATACATATTGAATACCTTATTCCTTGATTCAATGTTTTCTCAATCTGTACACTAGATATAGCAGTGATGACACGGATGATGATACCAACACGAGTGCCGTTAAGAAGAAGAAGAGTGCATCGAACTTGCGCCGGCAGACACTGTCGAATCCCATGCCACCACCCTCTTCAATAACCTCTGATACTGTAAATACAGTGAAGAATCTGGTCAAAGAGAATCTATCGCCACCTCATTCAGAATTTAAAGATCCAGCACCAGCAGGAGCAAGTTTCGAGTGCAGCCCAGTTGCTTCTACGATGCGCACGACTTCGAAAACTGTTCAGAACAGATTTGTCAGGACGCAGAAGTCATCCGCTATGTCCGATGGCTTGGACACTGGATCAGATTCAGATGTCATGGAGGATACAGCAAGCACATTTGGCGCACGCTCCAAGTACCTATCCAACACCAACAGATTGTACGATTCTCACAGAATAGTTGATCGCGGACCGACATACGAACTCGACCAAACGTTGAGAGCAAAGCCGGTCCACATGACGACGAAGGACACCAAGTATAATGTAAGCCCCATGAAATCTAGCGTCTCCACGATGCAATCTCTGAAGGATGATACGAGCGGTAGGGACAGTACTAATCAGAGAGATCTTCTTGCCAACTACGAGACTCCATTTTTATCAGAGTTCACAAGAAGACTTAGTTCGCGATCGTTGATAAACACATCGCCAACGTCGCCATTGTCGAACTTAAAGAGTGAGTGTGTTTCCTCCTTTACAGCGATCTGTTCCTTATAGCCGCATTATATCGGTTATTTCTCAATTATCCTTTTTTCTTTTTTTCCCTACATCAAGCATCAGATATATATATATCTGTTTCGTTTTAAATAGAGATAATAAAATCTAATGCATAAAGAACATGATACCAATTAATATCTCTATGCAAAATAAAAAAAGAAGCTCTCGTCTCAAACTGCATTTTTTGATGCATTTTTTGGCATTTTCACACTTAGGTCCTACATTACGCCATACCCTGTCCGGCTTACCAGAGGTAAAGGAGAAGGACTCGAACGGCCACTTTTCTTCCTTGAGAATGATGTACTCGACATCGACTCCCAGGTACGCATGAATTATGCATTAACATAAACAGCAGTAATCACACATTACAAATATAGACAAACGCTGTTTAGCACAAGGCACAATGCGTCGTCGTCCGTCGACAGAGTTCGAGATATTACAAGTAGATCGACTTACAAACCGTCAACGACAAGCAACAGAGAGGACGTACGAAACAATCAGAATATCGTGTCGGTGATCCTCGTGGTAGTGCTCGCTCTATTCTTCGGAGTTCTCGCGATAATATATCTGGGGCTTGGTGGAAAAACTGAGACGCTACCGTCATTCTCAACGGGTAGGTATGCTGAGATATAACTACTTGGAGGGCAAGCCCCCTCGAAAGATCCAGTTTAATTGATTATAATTTGTAACAAAGCGCAAAGTGTGCGTAATATATGCTCGAGTCAGCTCACAATGGAGCCGCGAGTTGTACATCTGCCGCTAATCACTAACTAACGCTCAAATTTCATATCGCTATTTTTACGAGGTTAAAGCTGTCAGGGAAACCAAGTTGAATGTGCAAGAGTAAAATGTTAAATATATATGTGTATTTTCTTTTCTCTATATATTCATGTATAATAAATATCAAGTATCTCTTGAATCTCTAGTTTGGATATTTTATTTCCTTTTCCCGTTCTCTCTTTGTACGTGTATATACGTATCATTTCCATAATATATATTTCAACTCGATGATTGCGGACACGCGCTTTGTACAATTTTGTTTAGCCCGTTATGCGCACACCCACGCAACGTACAATTTATCGAGGCCTCGTAGAATTGAATCAAGTGGATCACTTAATTTTTCATACAGACATATAAAAATTACTATTTGCAAATGTCTTTTATTGAATACTGTTATCCACTCTACACGACACGCTATCGATAAACTTCATTTATAGCGTCATACGCCTATATTTATAGATAACAACATACCGCAGTGTTTCTCCGATGGATCTCCCGATCTTAGAGTACCTGGAGTAAATTGTGTAATGAAGGAAAACATAGATTCCGTGTTGCAACTATTAAGACATCTACAGCCTCTATTAACGAGAAAAGCGGTATCTAAGATATGCGAGAATTCAAACGAGAAATCGTATTTGACCGATGCGGATATTGTGGAAACGTTCACGAGCGAGAAAGTGGTGGGTTGAAAGTTCACGGTAATTTCTTTTAACGAGATTAGCACTAGGTAATCGTATTTTTTCTATTTGGCTGTGTCCAGTCAAGCCTCGAGGTGAAGGAGGATCTGCACAGCGCGCAATTTTTAATCATTAAGAATCCCAAATGGGGTATTTCGCTAATAGATATAAACGACGAAAACGGACCGACTATTGAAGTGTTGGATACTCTGGTAAATATATTATATATATGTATATATAAACTTATATCGCTTTTTGTAAGTCGGCATAGACGTGCTTTTGTTGTCGAACTAAAGCGTGTGTTTATGATCGTTGCAGGATAAATTATTTTCCGCTCGTCTAGATGGAAAAGTCGGAATGGTAATCCTAAGTCCCGAGCTGCCGATGCAATGTCTTGTTAAGAACAAGCTCTTTACCATATTTTCTTCTCTCCTTATAGCGGCATTCGGTAAAGTTTTAACAGATTGTGCATTTTAACAGAAAATGTGCATTATTCGATATCATTAGTGTGATATGTTGCTAACGATTTTACGATTCGCTACATGTATTTGCGGCATGATGTATATGCTATATATTTCAGTAAATTAGTTACATTTTAAAACTATTTTATTCTTTGCGATATGTTTTATTTGTGCTGTGTTATGCAACGATAAATATATGTAGAGTGTGATCAAGCGGAAGACAGACTTCATTAGCTTAGGATCGAATAGATTCCTTCCTTGATGAAACGTCTCAGTAAACGGTATGTTTCGGTAATCCCAGTCAAATACACTTGATCGTTTCGATGGCAGTGGCTATGTTTCGTGTGTGAGATTTATCGTTAACTTTGTAAGGAGCTACATTCGAACGTAATTTAGTATGCGTAAGTTTTACTACTGAAAATCGCGAATTGTCTATTCCCTCGATTCCAAGTTAATGTTCTTTCATTTGATCACATTCTGTTTAATAAACAAGTAGTGCATGTGATAACACATCTGTAATGTTAGATATATATTCTCAGGTATATTTGCGGTAATTGGGACTCACAAATTATTCCTCTGGTATGTAAAATATAAGAAATCTACGGAAAGAGAGGTGTTCAAACTTGTTAGTGAAATTTTAAACATTGTCGAGACACATCATCAAAATGCGTCCACTCAACCTGGTGGCACGCAGGATAGTTTCCTCGCTATAAATCATGTGCGAGACAATCTTATTCCACCAAAAGATCGTAAGAAGATGTCCGGTCTCTGGGAGAAAGCGGTAAAATTTTTAGATGAAAATGAATCGAGGTAAGAATTTCAGCGCGAGATTTAGCTTGTCACATCTGGTACACACAATGACGCGTACAATAAGATAAAGACATGATGATGCAATTTTTATTTTCAGGATACGAAAAGAGGTACAACAAGTGGCGGGAGAAGAATTCTGTGTGTGGCGATGGTTGCCGAATAACAGTTTGAATAAATCTCCCGTGCAAAGTACGACTTCGTCGAGTAAGAAGCCGAAGGTCTGGCAAGGACAGGCGTTCGAAACGATGGAGGGATCTGTTAACAGTTTGACATGTTCGCCGACACCTTGTCTAAAAATTAGGCACATGTTTGATCCAGAAATGTAAGTTGCATACGCTGATACACGGGGTGCTCATCGTTGTTACAACGAGCATCCGGCGTGTATGATGTATAAGAAGAAAAGATTTAAAATAAGAGACAAGTTAAAGTAGATGTATCAGCAGCGACGAGACAGAATCTTGAAGATGTGTTACTTGTAGTTTTACATATGATATATACTCCCTCCTCCCCCCCCCCTCCTTTTTTTTTTTNGAAACCGAAGATGACTGGGAGACGAAAGTACAAGACGCTATTTTAGAGAAGTGCGGTGAAAGTGTAAAGATTCTCCATATTCGAGTGGACATTGGTAGCCGTGAGGGTTGTGTCTATATGAAATGCCTGTCACAGGAAGACGCCGGGAAAGCTTACAGGGCATTACACGGATGTTGGTTCGATGGTACATCGCAACTCGTAAATCTCACCAGTTCGATACACCATCCATCCCCTCTTCTCTCTTAATATCTCTACTTTCTGTAATGAAATTTGAGATATTAGATATGAATGGCTCGTTTTTGACAAAAATTTTGTTTTTCAGGTAATTTAGTGACTGTAAAGTACCTGAGATTAGAGCGTTATCACGAGCGGTTTCCCGACGCCGCCGTCCGTTGTGTAACGCCTCTCAAGCCAAGCAACAATCAACGATTATCTATGCAGGCGCATTATTGGCAGTGTCCTGCGGAATCGAATTAACAGTGCACATTTCTGTTCGGTTCATTCAGCGGAAGATGGTTCGTGCACACACAACTGTCTGCCGACCGACACTTACGAAATCCATCTATTTTCTTGCTTCGAGATAAAATACTTTCGTGCTACAGCGCATATATTGCAAGTGGAGATTGTAACAGTGTGATAACATCCAAGGATTGAAGAGACTTTTTTATAAGCATTTTTTTTAATTCTCGTTAACTTGTGTATTATATTCTACTCTATATCTTTCATGAAGAACGAGGGGGATACGTGTTTTTAATAGTTGAGTAATATAATAATAATAACAGTAACATATAATAGTAATAAAATAACATTAATAATATACTTTTAAAGTTTTAAAAACATTTTATAATCTGTGTTTTATTTTAATCTTAGTTTTACAGTATTTTTAAGTAGCTATATATATGTGCATAAGTAAAATATTATTATGTTCTCTAGACAGATTTGCATAGTTTCCTACAGCATATATGCGGAGAAATTAATTAATTATTATGTGATGTACCGAACGTCATAATATGTACAATCTCCTTTAAGCTTATGACTGACTTCTTTGCATATATGTTTTATGCTACTGTAGAAGTCTGTGGGTACGATCTACTTGAAGTGGATCTTATATGATATAGGTTATATGGCTTATGTACTAGGTTAGCTAATTTATCTAACCAGTAACAAGAAGCAGGCTATATACTTCACCAAATATTGAATTGCCATCTTATTCAAGTTTGGCTGTCTAACAGCCATATCAATTATATAACGTCGTCAGAGGCGAGAAATGACATTCAGTAAATTTCTTGTGACATATAGCTTTAGTTTTCCTTGAAAAACATACAGTTTCGTAATCCTAAAACTTGCAAAATATATGGTAAATTGAGATGGTTGTCCGATATGTTATGTAGAACCGTAAAATATACTACACTTGGATGTTTGTAACAGCTAAGAATATGTATTGTTATTTCATGAATTATTTAACGATCTTACGTGACATCGGACAAATACATCTTGATTTGCCGCATATATTTTACAGGTCTCAGGATTACAAAGCTATTCTTTTTTCAGGGAAAACTAAAAGATAAAACTATGTCGCAGAAATTTATTACATGTTAATTCTCGTCTCTGACATACAACCGATATAGCTGCCAGAGATAAGCGAGCCTTAAGATCAAACACTTTCGTAAAGAATGCAATATCTCTCTCTCTCTCTCTCTATATATATATATAAATCTATTCACGTTTTTAATAGGAGTTTCTAAATTTTTACTCATAGCATGAATACATGAGCGAATATATATATTTTTTATTCTTATAATATAAATATTTAAATTTTCATTAAAAGTATTAATAGCTAAATATATTACCAACTATATGAATATTTGAAAATTTGCATTAGAAATAAGAGCGTTTAATCAATGATAGGTGCATCGGGACGTATCTTTTCAGACGTTCAAGATGTTCCAGATGTTCCACTAGTTTCAGTTTCAGACGTTTTACGCTTTTTAAATAATTTAGATGTTACTTCAGGCTTTTTAAACGTTTCAGATGACTGGACAGGCATTCCAGATGTTCCAGGCGTTTCAGACGGCGTTTTCTGTGCAAGTAACCGTGTAAGTATGTTAGACTTTAGTGCTTCTTTAGTCTCTTTAGACAATACAGATGTTTCAGATGACGTTTCAGACTGTAGAACCGTTTCAGACGTTTCAGATGACATTCCCGGCTGTATAAGTATTTTAGATTTTAGTTTTTCTATAATAATTTCAGACGTTTCAGATGACGTTCCAGCTGTTTCAGATGACGTTCCAGCTATTTCAGATGGCGTTCCAGAAGTTTCAGATAATCCGGATGATTCAATTAACGAAGATGATGTAGACGGTCCAGGTATTTGAGAATCATGAGGAACTATTATACCTTTCTCAAGCATTAAATCTATGTACGATTTAGTTACTAGATCCTCACTTGCTATAGATAGTTCTTGCATCAAGTCATTAACCAATTTCTTAGCAGCTTCTGTATTTATATTATCTTTTTCCGTTACCTAAAAATACATCATTGAGATTGAAAATAACTGTATCAATAAAGATTTAATGCAATTCAATGTAAAACAACTCACGAACCTTTATTTCTACAAAATTTCCCAAATTAAGAACATTGTCAATATGTATTACTGCTTCTTTAGTATAATGTGCTTGTCTGTGTTTCTTAAGAGAACCTATGATACCGTTTGTTACAGATAATATGTTCTGAAGTAATGGAAGTCTATGGCATAGTAATGAGCCATACGAATTACACACCTGCAGACCTTCTTCCTCCGATCGTTCATAAGAAATTAACGATGCATATTCAAACTATATAACAAACAAGGACATTTTTATAAAAGTTACGATGTGTAATAATGTAAATAAGCAAAAAATGCAATTACAACCTAACAAAAAATGAATCGTCGAAATTACGTCGTTTTGATGTTGAAATGTCTGATTCGAAATTTCGATATAAATTTGGGATCATCAACTTTAACGAACCGTCCTATACGGTACAGACTTTCAAAGGATGTTCTAGAAATATCCAGAGGATATTTTATGTCCTAAGAACATTCCTAGGACATTCCTCAATAAAATATACGGGATTTTGTGCCGAGAAGGTCTTCTATTTGAAATGTTTAGATGTACACTCTATCTTCTTTTAGTCTTTGAGGAAAATGTTGGACAAATACGTAAAATACATCACGTTTCATAAAAAGGACAAAACCTGTTTTAAATTTTGGGAAAATCGGATACCCCATGAGGACATCTATGTAGAGTCAACGTAGAATCCACGTATGGAAACTGATTCCACAGATGTCCTTATAGCGTACAGTTGACCTTTCCATCTTGTATATTTGAAATTTATACTTTACTCTGAATACAACTTTATAAAATTAATAAAAAACGGATAAAAGTAATATGTTAGTTAAAAAATTAATAATTATTCTTACTTCTTCAAATTTCCGTAACATTAGTTTGCCGTTAGTAGCTTCATAAAACGTATCTATCGTATTGATTGGATATTTATACTCTCCTAACTTCCAAATTTTCGCCAACATATATTCGTAGTTGCGAATTTTTGCCTTTATCTCCACGGTTCGCATTTTTATTATTTGGCAAAGTCTTCAGAAACTGAAATTCCTGAAGTACTAAGTTAACAATATACTTTCGTCTGGTATAATTTCCTCTTGTAGACTTGAAGACACTACCAAAAATGTAGTGTACGATACATTTATATTATTTCGAGGACAAATGTGAGATAATATAGCTTATGTGGACAAAGTTAGTACCTTACTAACATATTTTGCCAATAACAAAAAAAGAGAGGAAGAAACATGAAATAAATATTATTTGTTTTCTTCTTAAGTTAACTTTCAAAGTTATGTGAAGCATCAGAATATTTCGAAGAGTACGAAATTGAGATGGTTTAAAACGAAAACGATGACGTGCCACGTGCATTAACCATACATTTCATCAAAGATCCGCAATCTGGGTAAAATAGTTTCTTTACTATCAACCATCTCACCATCTGAGGGGCGCTGTTATGATTCTCAAGAAGGGATAAAAAATATAAAAATGAGCAAACCCACTAGGTGTTGACCAATGAAATTATAAATATTTTAATAAATTCGTTCATTTTTATCATTTTTATCTCATTTTGAAAATCGTAATCTAGTCGCATTAGTCAATTATCTGAATTGATCAATGTGATTGGTCAATTCCATTGAGTTAATCGTCAATTAGATTTATTAGGTGGTAAACTTAGTTCCTGCGGTTTTTTTTGTTTAAAAAACTCATTTATTTCGACATCAATAGCAAAAAATACATTAATCGAAGTATTTTCCCTCGCTAGCTATACATTTTTCCCATCTTTCGGGCAACGCGTAGATTCCGCGACGATAGAACGATTGGTCTTTTGATGCAATCCATTCGTCGATCCATTTTCGCACATCCTCGTAATTTCTGAAGTGTGTATCCACCAAGCCGTGCTGCATCCACTGGAACAAGTAATAGTCCGAAGGAGCTAAGTCTGGTGAATACGCTAGGTGCGGGAGAACTTCCCACTCGAGCTGCATCAGTGTTTCTTTGACGGCTTTGGCAACGTGTGGTCGAGCGTTGTTGTACAAAAGCATGACTTTACGTCGATTGCTGGCTACTGCTGGCCTTTTTTCCAACAATGCTTCATTCAGACGGTTTAATTGTGATTGATATCGATCCCCCGTGATACTTTCGTTCGGTCTCAATAGCTCTTAATAGACGACGCCGTGCATATCCCACCAAATGCAAAGCATTGCTTTGTGGCCATGAATATTCCTCTTTGGTGTGGATATCGATGGTTGGCCAGGTTTGACCAAATCTACCCATGATTTTCTTCGTTTAGGATTATCGAAGTATATAAGTATTTTTCATCGCCAGTCACTATACGCCACAAAAAACTCTTCTTTTTCTGCCTGGCGAGCAAAGAAATAGAAATGTTTAAGCGATTCGCAATGGCATTTGCGGTTAATTCGTGTGGTACCCATTTTCCCTCCTTTTGAATTTTTCCCCATTGCATCTAGACGTTTGGAAACAGCCATCGGAGTAACATTTAATGCTGCAGACAATTCTTGGAGCGTTTGAGTAGAGTTTTCGTCCAATAATGCCTGCAAATCGGTGTCTTCAAACTTTTTCGGTTGGCCTGAGCGTTCTTTATCATTGACATCAAAATCACCAATCTTAAATCGCTGAAACCATACTTGGCATGTTCTTTCCGATGGAGCATAATTGCCATAAGCTTCGAAAAGCAATTTATGAGCTGCAGCTGCAGTTTTTTTCAAGTCAAAGTAATGAAGCAGCACATGTCGAAAAAACAACTTATCGCGTTCCATATTTAATCAAAAGAAAAAATAGCACTGCTCGCTTAAATGAATCTCTTCGCACTGAATTTTATTGACAAATGTCTAACCTCTAAAATGCAGCCGGTTTCAGATGTCAAAATAAATTACACCTACAACTAATGTCATCTAACTGTGAGCCGCAGGAACTAAGTTTACCACCTAATAAATGATAATGGTGGAACTAGGCATTACCCCAGATTTACAGTAGATGGAGTAAGCTTTAAGCCGTAAGAAATTAACCAATCACAGTCGAATGTGAAGGGAATAATCGATCGTAATTGCTTAATTTCTTAGGGCTTAAAGCACCTATTGTAAACGGGGACTTATGCTTTTTCAATATGGCCTTACACCCGTATCAGACTATATACTGGAAATTGAATTGAATTTTAACCAATCAATGCAAAGTTCACTAAATTTCGCTAAACTTGAGTTTAGTTAACTTTGCACTGATTGGACAAATTGAATTCAATCTCAATTTCCAATGCGTAGTCTGATTCGGGCTTTAAAAGCGCTTAGTGATTATTATTTGTGATTGGAGCGGACGCCACTAACGTTGGTCACTCAAAATATGTAGAAGTTTGCAGGTCCTGACGTAAATATAACCTCAAACTGTCGTAAATGACAAAAAACGTACGATGATTGTGCTTATCAAGTTTGATTATAATTGTATATAAGTATTGAACGTAGGACATGTGTGGTGTAGCTTTACCTGTTGTATTTTATTTCACTATCTTAAAATCTATCGTATATCTAGTATATCGTGCATTCCGTATATCACAAGAACTTATTGTCAGAATATAGTCTCGTTCGTTCTGCTTTAACATTTTCATAATTTAAATACTTTTGTAATTTTTCTTTCGCGTGCTTTTACGATGATATATGCTGTTTTAGCCAACAGACTAACAGAGAGAAATTTTTATATAAAAGAATCAGAGAGAAAAAAATGAAATATTCAACTTCGCCACCGACGAGTCGATGTCATTCGCCTGCACCGACAGAATTCTCATCCTCATTGCCAATGCCAATTGTCTACAGGTATCGTTCTAATACATATATATGTATCATCGCTTATGTATAAATCTGGTTGATCAATTAAAGAGAAAACACATTACAGGCACAACTGTATGGGTGCTGCAACAAAATGTTACAAATATCTAAGAAAATTGCTCAAATTTGAACAAATGGATTTTGAGTTTGCTCTTTGGCAAATAATTTACCTATTTGTAGCTCCACAAAAAGTTTATAGAAATTTCAAAAACAGAAAACGTACGTTATACTTAATGATATACATAATGATATACTTGGAGAGATGTTCTATTTTTATCTCTAGCACTTAATATTTTTATTAGTAAAGTGATATTTTTGCAGAAACAAAGTCACAATTTGCGAGAGATGATCCTGCATTTTTTGTGTTGCTTACATTCTGTTATTCAATGTCATCTATCGGCCTAGCTGTTGTGTTGGGTTTAGAATACTTCCAATATGTAAAATTATTGTTTTACCTGATGTTTATCGAATACTTGTTTGCTGGAATATTAATAGCAACAATATTTTGGTAAGAACATAATCCGCCGAAAGTTTTCTTTCTCACTATATTAGGATTTACTGTTTCTTTTTTAAATATTCTAATCCTGATAATAAAAATATTAAAATATGATAGAGACACAAAAATTGATGCTCTATAACTCAAGAATTGAAATTCTCTTTGATTTTATATTTTCAATATTTTGTTAATTCTCTGTACGAATTTTCCTTCCCTTTATATAGGTTTATAACTAATCGATATCTAAGAATAGACCATACACAAGATGTCGAATGGGGCTATGCTCTCGATATCCATATGAATGCGGTATTCCCTCCTTTAATTATACTTCATATTTTCCAGTTATTTTTATACCATGGTGAGATTTTGCATACCCATCTAATTTTATCTGTAGTTAAGTAATTTTTAACCAATGTGTGGTTTGTTATGCAGCTTTGATAAGTGGCGATACATTCTCGGCGCGATTCATTGGGAATACTCTTTGGCTTATAGCTATTATATATTATATTTATATCACCTTTCTCGGCTATGCGAGTAAGTACATATCGATCGCTTAAATATTACTTGTAGGAGTATGTAATCTACTTTTATAATTAATGTTCTATAATTAACAGAGCTGTGATATATTTTGGTTTCAGGTGTAGAAATACTTCATAAAACGCATCTGATATTATCCACTTTGCCGATAATTTTGCTAACGTATATTACTACATTATGCGCTGGTATCAACGTCAGTTACTTGGTTATGGAATTTTATTTTTATCAGGCTGTATAAAAAAGAATACAATGTATCCTATCTCCATTGAATTGTTCTGCATTGGAATAACAACTTGGCTCCGCTTACACAAATACGGTAGAATCTTGTTTGACGATATTTATTATGAGTCAAATATTATTTTAAATTATATTTTTATTCTTTTTTTCTTATTTCCCTTTTAGGCAATTGTTACATACCATATTTCAAGTCGTTATAACAGCATTTTATGTACTTCATTATAATGCTGTCCGTAGTCACTAGATTTTTGTTATTGAGTGTCGAAGAGCGACGATTATTATATCGATGAGGTCAAAAATAAAAATTTAATATAACAAAAATGTAATAACGTATTTACCCCTTTTATTATCAACAGATATAATTTCGTATATCTTTCGAATCGAACAGTCATTTTTTAACGACATTATTTATCTTACATTTTGAGGCTGCTTCGCGCGAACATTTGGTGTATACTTGAATATCAAGTCTTTTATTATGTGAACGAATAATCTCGTAATCGAAAAACCCGCGAATGCATGCTATCGATGTGTCGAATTTTCCGATACATCGAGAATCGGATGATGCTGCGACATCTGCAGTCAATTCCGAGAGCTGCTCACGGTTGGTCGAGTTCGAAAGCCGTTCCGTGATTTCCGCGGCTTTGACTCGCGGGAAGAAAGCATCGAGCACAGATTATCGTCAATTATGCCGAAAGTAAGTTTTATTCGCGCATCGAGATGAAATATCGTCACATTAAAGTGAATATCTCGCGACACGGTCTGTCGTACATGAGGGAGAGCAACTTACTGTTATGGCGACTGAGAGTTCCAACTGTTTGAGTCCTCGATTTGCCGAAAAGTTAGTATCACACATGAATTATCGTTTCCGGAGCTGTTGAAAGTAATTTCCGTGTGCTCACGTCGTGACGAAATATCGTCAAGGAACCGACAAAAGTGAGTACCGATCGTCCCGAGCGAAGTTGGCGCGCTCGCTACTTCGAGAATCATGGCGGCGGCAGTTTTAAGTCGTTTACGTTCGATGCAATTTTCGGACGCGAGTCCCGCGATCATTTCCGGGAATACCGGAATTAAGATCTGCGCATTCGGAATTATCGTTAACATACACAGCCGAGGCGAGAACAAATATCTCTCGCAGAATGCGCCTTGTGTGTGAAGTATCGCATTACGGAAACGTCGTGTTATAATCATTGCGTTTTGCGCATTCGATGAGAGGGTCTCGTGTTCGAATTAATGTCGGGAGTGCCGTAAATGAATCTCGTGCGTTCGTCGTGTCGTTAAACAATAATATTGCGAAGCAAGTGAGATAGAAACGGACGGAGTGGTAGGTTCCGAGAAAAATATTGCGCGTCGGAGACGATTGTGGCGACTCGCTGCGTTCTTCGTCTTTGAGCTGTCTGGAAGAAGAATCGGTAAGTCGATAGAACAGAGATTTCAAGAGAAATAGCACAGGCACGATTTTTGCGGAAAATAACGGAATTAATGACGCCATTGTAATTGATATTACCATGTTATAATAATTTATTTAAACATTTATACATCTATATAATGTGTTCCACAGTCTTGAAAGCAGTTGCGAGTTTACATATACATATAAGTTATGTATATATATATGAAAAAATACACATAATTTATATGTATATACAGGATGTTTGGGAATGGACGCATTTGATACGATGTTCTTCGTTGATTAACGTGATAATTTATTTCTAATGCAAAAATGCGACATGTCTATGAATGATTTTTCAAAGAAAAGATATTTTATAAAGTGCAATTTAAGAGTGCAAATAAGCGAGGAAATGTGTCCTTAATTCTGATATGCGAAGCGTAAAGATATTTTATGTCATCATTTCAAAATCATACCCAGAGATCCAAAGTTTTGATATTTTATCAGAGTAGATATTGGTCCAGTTTTCTCAAAAAACAATATTCTTCCACTCGCCATAAATGCGTCTATCTACCGAACATTCTGTACAATTCTGTAAATACATATTATATTTTCATACAGGTATCCCGAACAGCTGTACGATAGTTTAACAGCATATTTTAGAGCTTGATTAAGAGTTGAGAATCCTAATGCGGAAATCATGGTAACAATAATCAAGGTAACAATAATTTTGAAATCATAAGCTATTAAAAGTCGTGGCCAACAATATCGCGTAAATTTCATTCGCTCAGACACGCGTTATTGATTTTCGCCGATTTTGTCTTTCGCTGTCGCTTAAGGTACGATCTGTAATTCGGCTCTAAGCTCCAGAACATGCTGTTAGACTATCGTACGATAGTTTCGGAACACCCGTATATATATTTATTCGTCTATTTTTATAAGTTAATTAATTTGTTATTGCCTAGATAAAGCATTTTGTAACTTAGACATTAAGAGTGTGATAGATATATTCTGCTTGTTGTGTGAGATTCGTTATATCTCTCATAGAAACGGAGTCCCGCGCGTATGCTTTATTATAATTGCTCCAACTCGCGTAGCGTACTCCCAGCCGTGTACCGCCTTAGGCCAGGAGAGACACGTGGATTTTTCATTATTACTTATAACCTAGGTGTTACGCTGATCGATCAGCGAACATTAGACCGATTTTAACCGCGATACAGATGCTTCGCGCAGTATGCCAAGCAACGGGCGATTATTATTATTGGGAATGAAAATAGATACTGCGTGCAGTTCAACAATTTTACAAAACAACATTCGGGCGAGATTATCGGGGGTCTCGCGCATGCCGATTTACCTATCTTTCGCCCGATCATTTTAACAACATTAATAGCGGTAACCGTTCCGTTTGATACTTATCGTCGACTTAACTTTCATTCCCAATAGACTTTTTTGCTTTCGCATCGTAGGAACGACCGAAGCAATCGCCTGATATCGTGCGCAACGTAAGCACGAAATGTTCGTTCGTAAAACTAAAAAATAAATTAAGTACAAATATTACACGAATACTATCGACGTCAGGACGGATGCGTTTGAACGACCGATGACCGTCCGAATCGTCTGCGGGATGAAAGTGAAGGAAATTTCTGAAAGTTTCAAAGCGGATCATTGTAACATGGAGTCTATGTCGCATCCGTTTGATCGTTGCTAATCCAAACGTCGGAAACGAACGGTTCGAAATGATTTAATCTGGCACGATATCGCCGAATTATTTATGCCGGGCTAGTTACTATTGTTGAGTGAGATTCCTTCGACAAACTGACCGTAATCATCTTCGATCGTTCATCCGCCGTGTCAACGACCCTTCGTCGCGCGAAGTCGATTAATAAATACTGACTTACGTCAAATTGTTCGTCTATCTAATGCGCTACTTTTGGGAGACATCGCCGCGCTAATCTTATCGCGAATTACATTATCCCGAACGTTACGCCGCGTGACACGAACGTAAGCGCGCGCGGCTATCGTTCTCTTCGTCGAAGGTTCCGTCTAATATATCGATACCGGCTAATCGGATTGATGAATCAAAGAATATTATCGGTGCGTGTCTCTTGGAGTGTCTTTAAGGACGCGTCGGTTGGAGGGGAATCAAAGATTGCGCGAAGCTGTCGATCAATTGTACACGTGTGATGAAATCGCACTCGAAAGAATCATATTTGACAGAGAATGCCGTGAGAAAAAAAATCTTTGTCGCGCAATTAAGTTGTTTCGCACTGAGAGAAGTGAGACACGAGATACTCTTTCTCACACTCCTTTTCGATTATATATCTGCTTCAGTTTAGTACTGCGATCGGTATTATACTTTTTCTTCTATTAGGCTTATTGCGTTTCTCGCCGAAATACCAAAGTATTTGTTGAATCGTGACATTTATCATTGGCATATACAGTAATATATAGAATATGTTAATCGCTAAGAGGATTAAATTTCTTGATGATTTTAAGACCTACTCTCTTGCCGCCATAGCGAGAATCTGATCGTCGTGAAATATCTCGGAATCGCAAGTCTATGATAGTAAAAACATTAGAAATGCAATTGTTGTTGAAAATGAATTTTTACACTACGCTCTCGAATGCACATCTTTCTAACCGAAAATTTCTGACACTAATTAAATATGAACGATTTCGTCAGGAGCGTACCGCTTAAATTCTCGTTGAGGAATACTCGACTTCAAAGTCATCGACAAAACACATTTTTATCATGAATGTGATTTAACGATATCTCCTTGTACATGCGAACTAGTAACAATTTTAGCGTCGCTAAAATCGCTAATACATACGTTTGTATAATGCAAAAGTTTGTTTTCCCGGTCTTCGAAGTGGTACCTTCCCCTTACGAATATTATCACACGCGTTTTTTTATGGTCGCTCTTTCGTTCTATACAACCTCTCTACTACGTTACGAGACTATATGTTCTAGGAGTCACATATATATCCGTCAGCTCGCGAGGTCTGCGTAAATCAACGGAAGAGCAATGTCGAATCGTAATTTCACGAGATCGTTCGGAACTTTTTCTCCGTTCGCACTCCGTTGTTTCTTTCGTCGACGAGAGATCAGTGTAAACGCACAGCAGAGAGAGAGAGAGAGAGAGAGAGAATTCGGTAGTTAGGCTAGATATTTCTTGTGTGTCGCGTCAAGTAACTACTCTCGTCTCCCCGCAATTATTTCGAAAACAAGATATGTTTCTGTCTCGAAGCGTGTTTTGATATGAACCTCCTTCTTCTCCTCCGTTTTCTCTTTTGAGGAAAAGCAACTGAGAAAACGCGATATTCTCTCGCGCTTCGCTAGACTTCGTTTCAAGTCGATCGTCTACCTGTTAGAGACGCACCGATCTTCGAGCTCACGTTTCGCCGGTGACTTTCCTCCTCGATGAGGAGACTGTAACGCGTGTCGTCGTATTCTCACGAAAAGCGCTGGAGCTACGACAAGGAGTGTAGACCGTACGGAGATTTGGCGCGGTCGTCACCCGCCTTCGTGTCCTCGTCCGCCAAATCAACCCCGTAGTTGCTCGAGGTGTTGTCGTCCTCTGCAACGAACGTACCGAGCTATTTTGAATACTTGGCTCAAAACAAATCAATCGCATCGAATTATTCTCGCGAGAATAAATGCGCAGGAAACGACTTCTTCGAAACAATGTATTCAACAGGTTTCACGCAATAGTCCGGCTTAATTGAACGATTATGTTATTGCTGCAATTATTTTCGGCGGATATCTCAACGAGATGAGACGTTTCGTTGAAAAAGATTTGTTCACGCGCTGAATCAACTCACCGATATAAAGAGGGGCTGTGTCGTAAGCGTTGCAGGGGCCCGCATGCCGCGTTTCGAGAACGAAGCCAGTCACGCAGGCGTCCTTGATAATGTGACACCAGCTGGGATAGGTGATGTTGTTTGTCGCGCATAACATGGTCGTCGATGGGTCGCGATCTCTGTCACGGTGCGTTCGATTGCGCTCCCGCTTCCGAGGGCAACGGTAGGTGCAGGTCACGCAACGCGGTCGTCCAGACTTCATCTCGGATAAACAAGTCTGGCCTTCTCGACAGCGTATCGTGGTGCAGTCCGCGCTCTCTGTCAAAATCAAACAACGAGATTACTCCTGCCTGTTTCCTCTTACGCTGAAAAACAACCAAATCGATGACATATGGAAATGAGAGGAGAAGAGGCTAGACCAATCGTCGAATTAGACCCACTCTATCTCTCTGGGCAATTTCGTACGTTGACTCGTTCGCGAACGATTATCGTCACGATAACATGTTGTTACGTCTACTTGAGTCAATGGCCTACTTCTCACGGGTGTAATCATTTTTCTTCTTCGGGTCGTCGCGTGAAAATTCATAATCCGAAATCAAATGAACGCGTGTGAAGTAAAAACAGTTTCGGTGCATCCTCCGCGTAAATATTTCGATACGATATTTACACGGTAAGAGAAGAAACGAATAATTTGACGTATTGGATGAATATTAAGTGATTCACAGCTGTGTAACGCGATCCTCATTGTTGGATATAACGCTTAGACATCGTCTTTTCCGCTTGAGGAAGAAGGTGAGGCAGCATATCGCAAACGAAATGTTATTCAATAGCAGGGTCGCGCGAAAAAATGTCGCTGATTACGCGCAATTATACATAAAGTTTAACACACGCGATAAGAAGAGGCGGGAAGTAACGCGGTTACGCAATGCTATATATACGAGGGGGTCATTGGTCATTCAACCTAACGTGGCATTGACATAACGTCGTCAACGCTTATTGAACCTCGACAATTTAAATGATCCGTCATTAGGTTACGCATCGTGCCCGCCACAGCACGCACGAAGTGGCGATGTTGGGAATCGTCTCTCTCCCTCACGCTCTAAATTATATCGAATTAGGTGGACATATTACAACATTAGACGGGGATATGTGCGCGGCGGTATTCGGTACGATAATAAACAGCTTAAATACGTTGAACGATCTGTTTACTGTAACGTCACCGCCTTAATCGCCGTGTCACGCAGCGTTAAGGGTCAAGTTGGGTCATCGCAAAATGTCCCTTTTGTTTCTCTCGCACGATAAATACGCACCATACGCGCTCTATCAACACGATCGATCTTACCCGATTTCTCGCGACGATACCCCCCCCCCCCCCCNTATTTACCCTTCCCGATAAAAATGCTGTCCTTCTACGCCATTATCCACTTCCGTCTTCGTCGGCAGGCATAATTTGCCATGCGACAACCGGATAATTCTCATCCGCACGGCGGCGTAAAAACCACCGCGCGCGCCAAGTATTGACGGATGAGAAAACGGTGTCAATATATGTATGTGCGAGCCCATTGGCGAGGCGAAAAAAATAAGCAAATTACTTAACGCCTTTGCGACGACGACGGTGGTAAGAATAAACGGTCGCGTCGCGCGGAGATCTTGAAGAGTACAAGATATTCCGGACCGGTCGAGGAGAACAGAAGGGAGGGAAAGGATGAGAGGAGGAGGTGGCGAGACGACGAGGACCGAGAAAAGCTCATATACGTTCCGTGCACATACTATGCATATTTACAGACGCGTGCACTTTCGCGCCTCGGATCCTCGAATCGGAGAAAGACGATTATTTGCATCGCGACACCTCGTCGCTAAACCGGCTGGTTTATTTACTTATTTACTTCTCCGTCGCGCGCATCTCCTTAGCTTCCTTCTTTACCTTTTCTCATTCGCACGAGAACGTTTTCGCACGGGGTTAAGAGAAACTGCCAATATATGGAGGGAGAGAGAGAAAAAAAAGAGTTTAGATTTCGATCGGCGGGATTACAAAATGTGACACGACAGTTTGTGGCGATTCTTGTTCGACGAGAGCTTCGCGTGAATGATAAAGAACGAAATAGTGGTGGCGGATCACGCACGACGAGAAAAAGCGACGTTTGCGCGGTGTGAAACTGAAATGATTTTCCCTTCATTGGGATTCACAATTATTTACTTACAGCAGTACTCGCGGGAAAGAAACGTAATGACGGAGTGCGAGGACGCCTTCTTCGTCGCCGAGAGACAGGATGCGCGGCAATACGGAAGAAAGTAATTACGAGCAAATTTTCGCCCGATTGATACAGCTGACGATACTTACGGAGTCGTCTAACGACTAGTGCAAAGCTGTATCATTAGCCGAGAGAGAGAGAGAGAGAGAGAGAGAGCAAAAAATCGATACCGCAAATCGCCGGTACGTTGAACCGTCATTTTTACCATATCGTGCTTATCAACGCGATCTCATTTTTTTTGGCGAATGCATATTTTGGCCCGGTGTTAAAGGCTTTCAGCAACTTGAGATGCAAGAAGCTGTAAAAGAGGAAAGATTGCAAAATGTTAGGTCCCCAATCGTGCAACTCGGGCGTTCGGAAAACGTGGCGATGTTGACGCGACGATATGTAAAGTGCGCGGCGTGCGAAGGTACTTTTCGCGGATTGTTTACAGTATCGAGCATCGCTACTATGACGACGTAAGAAGGTAAGGACGATCGACACGAGAGGGAGGATGTTCAACTGGGGGGGCATGCAGCCGGATGAATGTCGGGACGCGGATATGGTTGCAGGAGGAGTCGCAGGAAAAGGGAGGGAAACGTCGGGCCCATCGCGGGAGGGAGAAAGAAAGGATCTTGCGGCAGAGTGCGGTAAAAAAAAAGACGGCACGGACGCCGTGCCGTGCCGCGCCGGTTGGCAGTGGCCAGACGCGCCACGCCAGGCTGAGCCTCACCAAGCGCGCATGGTGTTACTGGGGTCCGTGTCTTGTACAAACCTCCTTCCTCGCCCCGCCCTATCCACCGTTCGCTCCTTCTTTCTCTTTCTTCTGATATTTCTCCGTCTTACTTTCTCCTCCTCCCTCATCTCCTCTTCTTCTTTCTCTTCGATTCGCATCTGCCGCTTCTTGTCTTCGTTTCTTCCCCGTCGTTCGAACGGCGCATATGCACGATTCTCTTCTGGTTCCTCGGTCGTCGACGTTCTCCTCCTCCTTCTCTCTCTTTCTCATTCCCGGGAGTCCAGAAAGACGATACATACGTAGGCATACTCGGTGCAGTCGTGCCACGAGACCTTCTCGTGCAAGGTGCTCAACCTTGTTTGCATCCAACGGACTCCCCTTCACCCCGTTCTCAGACCGATAAACGCCTGACCCCGGCGACCTTAGCGTCGTGCGACCCACCTGTTCCCTTGAAGCGGAGGTGAGTCTCGTTGAAGACGAAGAGGGAGGAGGAGAGATCGCGGGACGATTTCGCCGCGAGGAATTTTCAAACGAGGCGTGTTCCCGTTATAGACTCTGATTTGGCCGACACTGAATCACGGAAGTGGTCCTGTGAGAAGTACTCGGCAAGAACAAATCTGATTTGGAGAAATCTACAGGATTCATACTATGAATAATATTTCCACGCCGTATACGTATATTGAATCATGTCGAGCGCACCAATGTCTCCCTGGCCGATTAATTTTTCTTCGCAAAGCACGAAGATAACAGATTCCTTCTTACGCAATCACTGATACTCGATTACCCGTCTCATCGCGCGCAACACTCCGTGCCCTATATAGTGCTACTTTCACGTAACACGGACGTTAGCGCACGCAGTGAGCCTCACACACGCGTGCTTTATATAGCAGCATCCTTTCTTCATTACCAAATCTCGGCCTTTCGCGCGGTATCAAACCGGTCTGGTTTCACGGTCGTACTCCTCGCTCGTACTCGCCGTCGACTCGATTGGACTTTCGTTCTCCGTTGCGCGAATGCTGATCGATGCACGCCGAATTCTTTCACTCCGCAAGTTATTTTTAGTCGAATCGCCCATCAAGTGGGGGGTTAGTGTCGTAAACATAAAGGACCGCGTGTCTCGACGTGCGCGGATTGCGTGGGCGCGCTGCGTTACGCGCGTGTGCAAATGCGCAAGCGTGGAAGCGAGCTTGCGTGCGTGCACACGGTGAATGACCGCAAGGACGCCACAAGGACACATCCTTACACATGTCCGAAAGCGCGGATTGTGGCTACGAGTCATCGTTATTCTTCTCCTACGCCGAGACACCCTTGACCCATATTATCTATTTTCCACCCCCGTTGAAAATAGTACCGTAGGCAAGGAGAAAACTGGCGAAGTGAAAACGCGTATCTCGAATGCAACTCGGGGAATTCGAGTCAATTTCGGCGATCGTAACCGCGGGTCACCTTATGCGACGCGAGAGTCTGGTCCAAGTGCAACCACCTCGCAAAATACGTATGGTCGCATTGCTTAAAATAACCCACGCGCGAAACTTGCCCACCTACCGAAAGAAGAACGACTCTCTTTCTCTCTCCGGGCCGGACAGGTTGAGAACTGCCTCCTGCAGCTTCGCCATTTAAATACAATGACGGCGATCCCAAAGCGTAATGCGCCCACGCCCCGTGCGCGAACTGTATACGACGTCGCGTCGTCGTCGGCATTCCACGCGCCGTCGCTGCAAATGAGCGACACGACCCAAGTGCTGCGACGAAACGGAAGATATTACGATATTATCGATATCTCTTTTCTCTTTTCCACCACCACGGAAGATGATCTCTTCGTCTCGCGACCGTAATCGATATCGCCGTTAGAAATTCATATAGCCATTGAAAAGTCGGCTTTCGTCTTCTTCACACGCGTGCTTTTCTTCACCCGTGGCGTTAACTTTGTAGGAGAAATTGCTGAATTTTCTCAAGTTAACTGAAAGGTGTCCGAAATAATCAGGATGCCAGGTGGCTGCGAGGATCGCGTGATACTCCCCGAAGGATCCCCGGATGGGTTCTTGGAAAAAAATCTGTCAATCTGACTGGTAATCGGCGATGGTATCGTGTTCGAAGTTGAGGGTTTATGGCAGCTTCTCGAGAGGAATGGACAGAAAACGATGCTCCTCTTTGTCTCTCGCTCCATCTTTTTACCTCCTTCTCTCTTTCTTTTTTTTTTTTATAATTTTTTGTTCTTTTTCGCAGAGCCCAGCAGATCGCGTCTCGGTCGATGAACTTCCTGGAACGATCTTGCGATTGCCTTCTGATGTTTTTTTTTTTTACTTTTACGCCCCTTCCTTTTCTCTTCTCCTTACAATATAAGACACTCGTGAGAAGCACCGACGAGAGTCATACCTCGTAGTTATCCGTTTCTTGCCGCAATTATGGATTTCGCCGGAGAAATCGCTAATTTGAGTATAGACTTTATAGAGCGTCGCGTGGTACGTATGTGTCAAAGTTAAAATTACTCGTAACTACTCGTCCGGCGATATAGATAAATAGATACAAGTCACACAAAAGAGATACACAACGCTTAAAGTACAATAAAAAAGAAAAGTACATTTTTCGATTCTAGCCACGCTATCTTGGAAATTGCAAGACATTTGGACACGCGTGGGAAGTTCGAGATATTATCTTCTAATTAAAAATTGTTCCGCACAAGATGACACGGAAAAGATGTCGCGAACAATCGTTCAGCGATTGTGGGGGGAGTTTAGCCGCTCTACTGCAAATATGTACGTGTATCAGGTCTCATCGAACTCGCGTAATGACTTCCTCCTCGAGATTCTCGGGATCGCTATTATTTTTAGTTTCTTTCCATTGTGCTATCCGTTCACGTCTGTTTACGCCTTCGTGCCGCGCGACTGGCCGAAGGCGACGGTGAAGGCGAGCCACAGGTACCGTATTCTTTTCTTCTTCCAGCAAGCGGGGCTCTTTCCGTTTTTCTTTCCTTCAGCTTCTTTTCTTTTTCTTAGACTCACGAATCCTATCCTCCGCGGAAGGGCAGAAGCAAAGGATTTAATGGGTGGAAAGAAGAAAGAGAGAGAGAGAGAGAGAAAGAGGTAAAGTGAAAGGAAGGAAAAAAGGCGGGTTCTACCGAATCAGCCAAGCTCAAAATCCACCCGTGAATTTTATTATTCCCATGGACTTCCCGTTTAAGGACACCGTCTCTTGGCTATTTTATGGTATCTGTCGCGAGGTTTCGGGACCGTGCAAAACAATAAGGCCCATTCCAATGCAAAGCAGCGGACTACCCGCTCGTTCGCCAATGAAGCTAACCTTTCGTTTTTTATTCGCCGATTGTTTTTATTCGAGCGAGTCACCCTTCTCGACGATTTTCATATATGCCCGCGGCTCCTTCAATTCAATACACCTGCGTTCCTCTCTTTGCGGACAGAGTAAAGTCGATTTAGACAGTGGGCTTCGTTCGATTTCGTGCCACTTGCGATTCTCGGCGAGAGACCGAGCAATAAAGGAAGAAAAAGACTCACGTTTGCAGTGGCCCTTATAGGCGACGGGAATGGCGCGGCCAGCGCGGCAGGCGGCGAGTCGCAGGTGGCAGGCACTCTTGTAGGTGTTTCCGTCGGCCCCGCAGACGGGGCGCGCGCCGGCGACCTGGTGCGGGGGCGCCTGCGGGCACCTGCGGGCGCACCTCACGCAGTGAGGGCTCAGGTTCTGGTCCAGTAGACAGCTCCGACCTTGGCCGCAGCGGACCCGTGCGCACGAACCTGCTCGACACTTTGCACGTTATTACGCACAGTCGTAAACCGCCCCCGAGATAGACGCGCGTCGTTGCCTGTCTTCTTTTTGCTCGTGTGTGATCATGTCGCTACATCAGTTTCGACATTTGTATAATATAAACGCGAAGAATAGTAACATTCGATCGTTAAGACTCGCGCGAAACTTCTCCGGCGTGGCGCAATTTTTGCGTCGACCGCATAATCGCGCCGGCATCGTGGGAACTAACGCGCGTTTCGTCACGGTTCATTGACGTATCGACGTTACACAGGATCAAAATATTTTTTCTCTCGTACGCGCGGTCATTAAGCCGCGTTACCGGATCGATTACCGGCGCGAGTGGCCCGTATTGGGTCAGCCAATCCCACCGGATGTTTCTTTCAGGTCGTTGCGTTTCTTTATCCGATCGTTCGCGTCCTAGTTAGCGTAATTACCAGTCTTTCGAGCGGACGATAAACAAAGAGTGTCAACTTAATGATGAAGATACTTTTCCTCCTTTTTATAACGGCGTATGTGATTACGACGTATCGATACGAGTAAATAGCGGGCTTGTTCGCCAGGGGGAATAACCTCGGCTTAATTGCAACAATTAATACGCGCAGGTAATATTATTCATACATACTCACTTTGGCAGTGGCCGTTGTAGGCAACCGCGAGCTCGTGGCTGCCCTTCTTGCAAGCTCGCTTTTTGAGTCTGCACAGGCTCTTGTAACTCTTGCCGTCCGTCCCGCAGACCGGTCCACCACCTCGCGGTGCTTTGCACTCCGGACTGCACACGCACCTCGGTCTTCCTCTACGCACCACGCACTTCTTTCCCTCCTCGCACCTCACTTCCGCGCAGCTCTCTGCGGGAGAGACGTGTACGTTCGAGAAAGATGTCGAAAATGTCGATCGATCGCTTACCTCGACAGGGACGGCACTGCACACCCCCACCGAGAACCTTCCAGAAGAAAAGACTTCCGCTGTCCAGGTCCTCCTCGGAATAGGCAGTCGCCGCCGCTGCGTTCGAGGCGCAACAGTCCTCCCGCGTAACGCCTTGCGACAGAAGCTCTTTGCAGCGACCGTTACTGATGGACGACCAGCATATACCACCTGACACACAGACGTTACGTCGTTAACGCGTGTGAGGATGTTGGATCGGTCGTCAACGCTCCATTCGTTTCCTCTCATTTACTTACCGGAGGAAAGTAAACTCTCGAGATTGAGACGATCGAGCTGCTTTGATTACGGTATCGTGACACCGTATTTCGTTATCGTCGAAACGCCTTGTAGGGCGAAAAAAGCAAACATCGGACACGTGATTAGCGCTATGAGAAGAAGTGGAACAAGGTCCCCCCGGCGGGAAATCGCACGGGTGTAAACGCGGTGTAGAAAAACACGCGATCTTCTTCCGCGTGAAAAATCTCTCTTCAAGTCAGCCGGCCTTCTCGAAACATCTCTTTGAGATGATTTCAAAACGAGGAAAAATTCGCTCGAAACGAAAATCTCTCTTTCTCCCTCGAATAAAACGCGAGAACTTTCGTTTCCGACTCGATTCGGCGGCGTATTTACCACTTTAAAAGCAGCAAGACAAACCGCGGCTACGTGTTTTCCGTTCATAAGCGTTTCCCGCGAACTTGCTACGAAAGTACTTTACGATGTATGATTAGCACACACAGACCGCTTCGCGCAATTGCGAGCTACAAGCCCGGAATAGTCGACATTGTTTACTAAACCCTCCAGCATTAGCGATGCCTCGGAATTCCTCGAAGACTAGCATGTAGTTACAGTAACGTCTCGCGCGTAACAAAGTCGATGATGGATTCGACGATTATCTTTGCGCTACATAGCGAATCTTTGTTACGGCGTCATATATAGCGTCAGTATTAGCGGAGCGATCTTTCATAATGTTACCGCATAGTTGTATTTTCATGAAAATACGCTCTTCTCTTTCTTTCCCTGATATCACACGGTCATGTACACATTCTGAAAATATTCCTCCTTCTCTTTACGACGCTTCTCATCAAAACGACGCCGCATCCATCCATTCAGAATCAGGGGAGATTAGACAAATTTATCCCGCGGCTATTCTCAGCGGGAATTTCTTGGCGGATAATTTCGCGAAAACATTGTTCGCGTGCATCTAGTCGCGCGATATATTAATAGCCGCGTTCATTCTTCACAATAAATGATTTCGTTCGCGTCAGTTGTGCAACGCCTATGACGCGGCAATGGAGCGGCGCAGCGTAAGTAAACGCTCGCCAAAATAGCCGGTGGAACCCTTCGGAACGTCTTCCTTTCCGACTCTCGCCGGCGAGAGCGAAAATAGTTTCGCTATCGGCTGATACGAACACTACACACCCCGTGCGATAGATTGTATTTTTAGAAGCGTCATCGTGGTATGTTTGAAGTTTAACGGTCGGTTACGTAAAAGGCCAAAGCTCCCTTTTCACAGTGATTTTCCGTCCTTCTCGCTCGTTTGTCTATCCAGGGAAATATGGACAATCGTCTGAATACACAGATCGATAACGCAACGTGTAATTCGTGTCACTGATCGGATCATTAAAGCCGAGAGAACTTCGACGACAAGTATTAACAAAGAGATTTTTCTCGATGAAAAGATCGTTTCGTAAGAGAACTGTTGTTGTTCCTCCCTCTCGCGCCGTTCTGGAAATCCATCGCTCCCGACTCTCGCAATTATTAATTCGACGAAGCGTGTCACGCGCCGTCGCTCGGAGAGGAGACGGCGGAACTACACCACCTTGTTACGAAGCGAAAAGGAAAGTCTGGCAAACTCGAAGCATTAATTCCCAGCCGCGGCATGGAGCAGCGGCGAGGAGGCGAGACGTGACGAGGCAGGGCGAGGAGAGACGAGAGAGGCGAAACGAGCCGCGGAGCCGAGCGGAGCGGCGCGTCTAGACCGCGACGTAGCCACCGTTTGGCCCAGTTACGCCCTTCTTCCTCTCCTCCTCCAAACCCCACTCCTCTCTCTCTCTCTCTCCCCCCCTTATATACCACTACTACCGTCGCCGTCGTCGCTACTCTCCGTGGTTCACAGAAAGCCGCGCTGTACACCGTCTACAGAGTTTGTTATTTACGAGGAGAGGCACGCTCCGGGGGCCCGGATGAACGAAAGTTTCAGCCAAGTTTTCCTCCCTCTCTTCGTTCGCTGCGCGCTTACGTCATGGCCGAGTCTATAAGAATATTTCCACCACCACTCTTCTTCTCGTTGTAACGTAATCGTAAGCTCCAATTTTTACCCTCCGCGGTCTTTAAACAATCAGCAGGTGGAGGCGCAAACTATACGAGCGATTTTCGTGGTTTTCTTTGGTACGCCGTTTCTTGCCGAACTCCACATGTTACTCATCACGAGCGTAGCTTGTAAAAGCACGGAACGTCGTTACGTTAAGAGTATTTGGGCGAAATTATTGTCAAGGTCGCGCGGTATTCGTTATCGTATCTATCTAACCGTGAAACGGCCGCTTTAGGGTCGCTTAAAGCAGATGGCATCTACCGAAAAGAAGCTCCTCGGCATCTCACTCGGAATTGTTCGAGTCGACACAATTCTGGCCGAAACTATTTCTCTACGTCGTTCGTCTCGATCTTTTGTGGCGTTTCACATAAGGCTATCGAGTAAAAATCCACTCTTCTCTTTAATTTGCAGCCGTCGCAATAGGACGAGTTCGATAAATAGACGACGTTACATTTTATTTTAACGATTAGAAAAACACATTTATGCTGCTACTTTCGGAAAGGAGGCTTTAAAATCGAAGAAAAACATCGGCGACACAATAAGGTAAAAACGTGTTGGGGGCCGTCAGGCACGAAAATAGATACGATCGGCTGTCCATCTTATATGGTAAATACGGAGATAGAGCGCGATGCATTTTCAAGGCGTGCATGCTCGGAGATGCATGGGCTCTAAGACTCTCTAGGCAGGCTCTAGGCCCCGGCAGCCTAGACTTCCACAGGCATGTCGGCATGCGAGATACAAGCTGCCGATTAAAGTGCCTATTCGTTCCCCGGTATGCAGCACGGCTCACCGCGCCAGCTTTTGCGCTCACGCACAACAGGCCACTTTCGTATTCGAGGAACTTGAAATTTCATCGTTCTCTCGCGTATCGGCCGATTTTACGGCCGCGGAAACGAGGAATTTCGCTCCCGTGCATCCAGCCAGCCGCGAAAATGCTTTCTCACGCTAATTCTCGAGGACGCCGGCGTAAAAAACAATGATTACGGTATGATATCATCGAATTGGTTCTCGCGTGAATTAGAGCGAAATGAAAGATCGGCCGTGAGGATTATTTCGAGAGCGGGATGTTCCGGGATATCGCGAGATCGGCCGGGCGGTGGCAGCAGGTGGTAAAAAGATCGGTGCCTGCTGAAGCAAGCAGGTATTCGCGACGTGCCGTAGGGGAGACGAGTTCTTGCCCGGGCAAGACGGCGGGCACGCGGTTAGTCATCAAGGCTCAGAGATTGTCCCCGCGCGCGGCGACCCGACCGGTTGACCAAAACCACAAGCTTCTCCTCTTCCATCACCTCTCAAGAGAGAGAGAGAGAGAGAAACGTTCCCCTAGTAATCTCGAAAAGTCGGCTAAAAAGAAGAAAAATGTCGCGGTATCATCGTCACATTGTTTCCAACCAGGATGACTGAGCGGCGCTTGTTGGCGAGAGAATATAACTCGTAGCCCTCATACGTCATATTTTTTAGCTCCGACTGCTCAAAGGACGGGATCGGAGAGACGTGTAGCGCTCGTAAGATTGATGCAACGGGAGATTCGTGTTATTCGTTCTAGCTCGCGGCTTGTCATCGAAATTTCATATTACGAGTTGATCGATCGACCGGTCAATTTTTAGATGTGATCACCTCGCAAAGTAGGTCTCTCCTTCTCTCGTAAAAACGCGTCTTATCTCGTGTTTATTTTAACACTGGTTGAATGGCGCGTTGATTTCCGAGGATTGATTACACGAAAGTTCGCGACGAGGCTCGATCGAGTTGTGCGAAAAATACGGTAAAAATTACCTGGTTCTCGGAATGCCGTATATTTCTCGCCTCGTTTCATCGGCTCTCTCTCTCTCTCAAGCAAGGTTGCAAATGCAATTGATTATACGTGACTTAATGAGACGCGGTGGTATCGTAGGTCATTTCGGTGGCGTTTCTTTCGCGATCTAACGAGGTGTACGCTGGTTCGTACGCTGACAAAGCGAGCAATATCTTACGGGTTTTCGAATACTCGCTTTCTTCGCGTAGGAATATGAAGGCAGCCGCATAACTCATGTGTTTTATCGCGGGCTCACCATCTCCCGAGACTGCGCCTTCGGTCATGCTCGCGTCGAATTGTTTTTACCGTGCTATCCGTGCGCTAAGGGATACGGAGCCGAGGTGCTAATCCGATGTGCATCTACACGCCCGGTGAATAGAACCAGTTTTATGAGCATTGAAAACTGGAGTACATTTTCGAAAAAGCCCGATCGCTTTCCTCTCGTCGAGTTCAGCGTCTTCGATGAGAGCATTGCGCGATTTACTCTTCGCATATTTGCCAGATTATCCCTCTCCCCTATCATACGTAAAGAAGCCATAAAGTTCTCCGCTTATTTCGGGCGCGCGTCTCCTACATTTTTATCTTTATTTATACTCGTCGCTTTCTTCTCGATTACCGCGAAGGAGAGATCGGTCTGGTTTTCCAGTGATTTTCAACGACGCACAGAGGAATATCTCCGTCGAGTGAGGAGACGATCGCTTCCGTCGTCTTCGAACGAAGACGCCTATCTCGCAGTGTTTGATTCCTCTATCTATCTCGCGGGCCTTTCCTTCCTCCTTCACGTCCTTCACGGGACCCACAGGGTCTCCCGTCCTTCTTTCGCCCGGTGGCATCGTCCGCGCGTCTAGAGGCTGAAGCGCCTCTCGCTGATGCGGAGCACTGACCCGCAAACTGGTTCCTCCATTACACCAGGCTTTCTTCCCCCTCCCGGCCCTCCTCCTCCCCCCCCCCCTTTTTTTTTCTTTCGAAAGAA